GTATGAACTAGTAAGTACTTTTAGGGTCTATCGTTCTCAACATCACGCTTCCTAGTATCCCTTCAAAGATAAATTGCAGTTTACCACAATTGCTCTTACTGAAAAAAAAAATCAATAGCTATAAGTATACCTTAGAAACTGTCTAAAAATAAGAAAATAATGACAAGATGAGAAAAAGCTGAATAGATTGAAATTTGAATCCAATTTAGATTGTAAAATTCATTTAGCTGGATAAATTGACCTTTTATAAATATCACTATGTTTAAAAGTGTTTGTTGGTGAGATTTGTTTAGTAATGAGTGTACAAATACAAAGCAGTTATGTTATAGTTTTCAGTAAAATGAGTTCTTTTATTTGATATAGTGACTGTATTTAAGAATGACCGTTGTATTCGTTACAACTTTCATACATGTATCGAAGAACAAACAGTTTTTAATCGTTGAATAATTTTTACTTGTTAATAGTCGAACAAAAACTGTATTTTCTAACAGGCACATCAGTTAACTCAATGTATTGATGAGATTTGTTTGTTAAAAACTTCAGAAGGTACCAAGGGGACAATTTAAAATTACAGATCGCATGGGGACAGACATCACAACATCTTAAACCAAAACAAGGCGTGAAGACAACGCATGGGGACAGACATCACAACATCTTAAACCAAAACAAGGCGTGAAGACAACGCATGGGGACAGACATCACAACATCTTAAACAGATCGCATGGGGACAGACATCAAAACATCTTAAACCAAAACAAGGCGTGAAGACAACGCATGGGGACAGACATCACAACATCTTAAACAGATCGCATGGGGACAGACATCACAACATCTTAAACCAAAACAAGGCGTGAAGACAACGCATGTTGACAGACATCACAACATCTTAAACAGATCGCATGGGGACAGACATCACAACATCTTAAACAGATCGTATGGGGATAGACATCACAACATCTTAAACAGATCGCATGGGGACAGACATCACAACATCTTAAACAGATCGCATGGGGACAGACATCACAACATCTTAAAACAAGGCGTGAAGACAAACAACAGTTCACATAAAACCTAAACTGACAATTATAAATTGGTTCACATGATACCCTCCGTAAACCGCGATCGAATATGTAATGTCAACGTAATTTGTTCCGCCTCACAAAAGTTCCCCTGGAAAATTTGTTATTAACAATGCCATAATATCTGTTCCTGTTGGAACACATATTATATACCCTTTATTTCGTAAGAAACTTGTTCTAGTGGAAAACATATTTATAGAATAATACAGTTGTTTACATCATCGTCCATTGGTCTTTGGTGGATACTTGTCTCATTTGCAATAAAATCACATCTCCTTATTTTCATATTCACCAGTAATCGTCTGTGACATAGATATTCAATAAAGGTAAACAAAGACATAACATGTTCGAAAAAACTTCAATTTTACCACGAGGAACCCTTTTTACAGCAGCTTCCCTGTGATCAGCAAACCTTTATGAAAAAAAATCCTGGTGGAAACACAGGCTTTAGAATGTCGAATTAACTGAGAAGTGTATACTCCATATGTATGTGCTGCTGAAATAAAACTACATAAGAATTAAAAGTTCACAATGAAAACAAAAGTCATGACTTTTGCATAAAATTTTTATTCTTTTCCATCAACATCCAGCATTACAAACGAAACTAGATCAAGACTCAACTTTTGACATACTGCCAGAGACAATTGGGATCACTGCATCTTCACCTATAAAACCCAAATCAAAAACCTTGAACAGAGCAACCAACACGAAGTGTTTACGAATCTTGAATATTAATTTCCAAAGTCTGAGGAAGAAAGGAAAACTATTAGAGCTTATCATAAAAGATACAGATCCCGATATCATACTGGGAACAGAAACTTGACTCGATGACACCATATCATCAAGCGAAATACTACCAAATGACCTTGATTATATTATACAACGCAGAAATAGACCAACCGACCGACAACTACAAAGTTCACCCATCCTTGGATCAATACCAACATCAAGCGTCTAATAAGAAGGAAACAAAAAGCGTACAAGAAATCAAGGAAAACAAAGAGAAAAATAGACAGAGACAGATATAAATACCTTCAACAACAAACACATATTGGAAATAAGAAAAGCACACAAAGAATATATGAATGACATCATCAGTCTCAGTTTCACTGAGAAACCGATAATATTTTGGTCGTTCTCGAAGAGCAAAGGACATGATTCTGTTGGAGTTGCACCACTCAAAAACAAGGAAGGCTTCCTTAAAAGCGACAGCCAGAGTAAAGCCAATATCTTGAATGAATAGTTTTGTTCAGTTTTCACCAAGGAAGATGGCAGCACCATTCCCGATAAAGGTCCTAGTAACATCAATTCAATGAATGACATCACAGTAACTGAAAAAGGAGTATTGACGGTAAACTGCTAAAAAATCTAGACACCAACAAAGCAGCAGGACCAGATGAAATACCAACCAAAATACTGCAAATAACAGCTACAGAATTATCACCGGTTCTCACAAGAATCTTTCAGTTTTCACTTGACACAGGAGAAGTTCCACAAGATTGGAGAGATTCCAACATAGTTCCACTATACAATAAAGGAGATACGCACTTGGCAGCTAATTATCGTCCAGTTTCCCTTGCTTCCTTCACTTGTAAGCGTTAGAGCATATAGTTCACAGCAGCATTATGACACATTTTGATCAACAAAATATACTCTGTGACAACCAACATGGTTTCAGGAAACACAGATCATGTGAAAGCCAGCTTATCATTACCATCGACCAGATAGCCAAAAACGTTTCAAATGGAAAACAGGTTGACATCATACTCCTGGACTTTGAAAAGGCTTTTGACAAGGTTCCTCATTCAAGACTTCTGTACAAACATCAGTTTTATGGCGTTAGGGGCGTGATAAACTCCTGGATCAGTTCATTCCTATCAAATAGGAAACAGCAGGTAGTATTGGAAGGGGCTAGATCACAAGAAGATGATGATCTGTCAGGAGTGCCACAGGGCACAGTGCTAGGTCCTTTATTGTTCCTAACATACATCAATGACTTGCCCGGTTATACCCAATCTGATGTCTGCCTCTTTGCTGTTGACAGTCTATTGTACAGGGAAATTAGTGACGCCAAAGATACAGACCAACTGCAGAAAGACCTTGAAGCGTTAGAAAATTGGGAAAAGCCATGAATGATGAGATTTAATACAACAAAATGCAATGTAATCCGCATACCACCAAAGAACAAAGACCTTTTACAATATCCATACAGCCTACATGGCTACACACTCGAACCAGTAGATAATGCCAAGTACTTGGGAGTTTCAATATCGATCAATCTCTCAGGGAACAAACATATACAGAATGTTACAGAAAAGGGTAACCGAACACTTTGCTTTGTAAAACGGAACATAAAAGAGTGTACAAGAAAAGTAAAGGCTGCTGGTTATACAACTCTAGTATGACCTGTCATAGAGTACGCTTCTACTATATGGGACCCAACTTACCAAGGCAAACATTAACATACTAGAACTTATTCAGAGGAGAGCTGCTAGATTTGTCTATAATGACTACGCATCACGTACACCAAGGTGTGTCACTACAATGCTAGAAGAGCTAAAATGGGACACATTACAGACAAGACGCCGTGACAACAGGCTATGCATGCTCTGTCGTATTCAGAATGAGCTGATAGATATCAACAAGAGTACTTACCTCAAAGATGAAGACAGTAGAACTCGTGGTGGACACAAGTTTTACCAACAGAGGGTCACCAGTGATGTCTACAGGAACTCCTTCTTTCCAAGAACTATCATGGAATGGAATACATTACCTGCCTAGGTTTCTGAAGCGCGATCCGTTGAAGATTTCCGCTCAGGGCTACAGACTACACATTAATACCAGACTCAATGATTGTAAATAATTTCAACCGTATCAATCTGATTTAATTGTAATAACTGTATATAGCCTTAGTGGGACTAGATTTGTAATGTCATCATGCGTAGTCCCGCAGAGTTTAAACTTTTCATTTAGGAACCCAACTCTTACATGGAAGAAGAAGAAGAAGAAGAAGAAGAAGAAGAAGAAGAAGAAGAAGAAGAAGAAGAAGAAGAAGAAGAAGAAAAAGAAGAACCGATCCACACTGTCAATATTAAATGTGTATCAAGTTATGAAGCAGATCTACTTGGATCTGTAGAACACTTTTCAATCTTTAGTTTATTTGAAATATTTTGTAGAAATCAGACAGTTTTATTAGGTTCTTAAAGTTTTCTGAGATTATCGTTGACATCCTTTTTTAGTTTAGGGGAATAATTTCAAAAACAAAGTGCAGACCAGTGAATAAACGGATACAGCGATCACTGTATTTTCCAGTTGCAATGTGCGTGTAAAGTAAAGGTGTTGGTTCAAAATGCCAATGACTAAAGTCGGATAACTCTGTTTGACAATTATTTTTATCTCCTACGCTAATCATCTTTCACCTTATATCTCATGGATTTTGTATTGCCCCTTGGTATTTTCTCCTCTAATTATAAGAACTACTCTATCATATTTCTTAAAAATGATCAACAGTTATTAAGTCCGACATTCAATCGCCACTCTCGTCACATTTTGAAAGATACAGCAAATCTTTAAATTTAATTAAAGAATTGTAATTTTAACCTCTTCAGTTGACTAAATAAGCTTGAAGGGGGTTCCGATAAATGTTTGTTCATGAACAATAATGTTCATATTAATAATTAAATTGTATCAAAGTTTTCTAGGCAAATCTTTGGTAGTTATCTGTATGCTCTAAAACGTCCATTTTTATAGTTTTTTTATTCTTTTTGTGGTTGGTTTTTTTTTTTATATTTGTTTTTGTTTTTGTTTTTGCCTAAAAAATTTTTGTCTTTATCGTACCCGATTGAGGCAATTCCAAAAAAAAAACAAAAAAAACGGAACAACAGACATTCTTTATTGGATAACTTAGGGTTATACAGTGCATATACCACAATTTTATTATAGTACTTTGTTTGAAATTTAATAATCTGATTTGCCATAGCAAAATATTGCTCTTCTCTCAGCGTTATATCGTGGCAACGACATCTGTTCTATGACCAGCCCCCTAGACCACTTGACGTTTTAATATTGTATTTGTATTAAGTCATAGATCAAACTTATTCGTTCAGTGTATGTTTACTTGTTTTTATTTAAATGTCTTTTTGATCGAGTTAATCCATTTCAATTGATATTTTATAGTGTGTCTGTTTATGTTGTAATGCTACACTACTGTTTCAGGTTAGGGTGAAGGATGGCGCCTGTTAAAACGTTTAAACCCGTTGCATTTTATTCACCTTTGCTAAGTCAGGAGCCTGTTGTTCAATGGTTGTCGTTTGTTTGTGTGGTTCATAGATGTCTCTCGTTTCCCGTTTTTTATATAGATTAGACCGTTGGTATTCCTGTTTGAATTGTTTTACACTAGTCATTTTGGGGCCCTTTTCAGTGGGTGTGAGCCAAGGCTCCGTGTTGAAGGCCGTACTTTGACCTATAATTGTTAACTTTTTAAACATTGTGACTTAGATGGAGAGTTGTCTCATTGGCACTCATATCACATCTTATTTATTTTGATATGTAGCGTTAAAAATGTCCTCGTCGGATTTATTGAAATTGTCTTTATTTTGGTTGTAATATAAATTTAACTGTCTATCAAAATACCTGTATGAAACCTTTGGACATAGTTAGTTAGAATGTAAATTAACAACTGAGGTCAGACTTTTTTGTTCTATAATTCAAAATTTGTGATGTATGTAAGTGTTTTCAGATTTTAAATCATATATATTATCTGCATAACCTTGTATGTAGTCTTAATGCGCATGTTCCAAGTCTTTTTTTATTATTCTTTTAATAAATTGATGTTGCACATATTTGATAGTCTATCTTCAGTTTAAACACATCTGGTTTAGGCTATTGCAATTGAAGAGTTATAGACATTGGCGTTCACTGTATGTTGACAAGTTTAATGATATCGAAACTACACAAGTTTTACATTCACCATTACGAGTAGTTTGCCTGTTACGATTTGTCTTGTGTCCAAGCTCGGAGTGACATGATATCGCGGTTCTAGATCATACAAAATATATCATAAAATTTGTCTGACCTGTGTATTAACCGATTTTGCCTTATTCCCTATCGTAAAATTTTGAATAGCAGATAATGCATTCGTAGCAGGAGATGCTTACCCTGTGGAGTTCATGCGATGTATCCGTTGTTTTTACATGATCTGTTCATTTAAAAATATAATTTCATTCAATCTTCACTTTTTTGAAAAATGTTGATAATGTCCATCGATACCATTAATACCACTGGAAGTGTTATTATTGTAATTGAAAGCCAGCCTAACGAGGAGGAGGACTTCCTATAATCTGGAGCAGACGTTTTTTGTCTTAGTGTTTTAGATAAAGCATTTGTATTTACAGTAATTTCATGTTTTATATTTTTTTCAAAGTCTTCTTCAACGATCTTTCTTAATTCTGATATTGTAAGATTCATATCTTGAATGAACAACCATTTATTTGACGTTGTACTTTTGGGACACATACATTGCATCGCAATAGCTGTTGACGATTTTATTACAGGCGATAATGACGTGTCAGTCGTGGTCGATGTTGTCAGCAATTTAGAATATGAGCTAGCGATTTCTGCTCGGGAGGACAGAAAATCATATTCCGTTGATGCCGTTTCTAAAGATATCATAAATTCTGAAAACGCGTTTGTTTTGGATGACGTAGTTGTTTCTGGTAACTTGGTTGTTCCTTGAGATTGTGTTTCAACTGGCATAGTTGTTTCTGGAAACGAGGTTGTTCCTTGAGATTGTGTTTCAACTGGCGTAGTTGTTTCTGGTAACTTGGTTGTTCCTCGAGATTGTGTTTTTACAGGCGTAGTTGTTTCTGGAAACGTGGTTGTTTCTAGAGATGTTGTTTCTACAGGCGTTGTTGTTTCTACCTGAGTGCTTGTTTCTGCTTCTGTCGTTGTTACGGTTGTAGATATCCGAGTTGTTGGTGTTGTGGTCGTAGGAATATCTAAATGGAAAGACTAGAATATAAAACAACTAAAACAGATATGAGGTAATCTTCAATAGAAATTTTACAAAAACACAGGGTCACAAAAATGAGCGAGGAATAGCCGCTTATGTCCTGAATACATGGACTAGTATTATGATACTAGTACATTTGAGTTAATTTGATTATATAAGCTTTTAATACAATTTGGTAAATTTCCAACACATTCTAAGATAAAAATAAGTTGGATGTTGATTTACTGGTTGACTGTTGTTTGCTTCAATTTGAATTGTAAATATTTCATGCATATTCAGGACGATAACAAATTAAGAAATCCAATATGAAGGTACTATCAAGTACACCGACAGGGATGATGGACTGGGAATTTAGACTGCATCTGCGAAATAAAAGTACGTTTGATAGGGGCATAAATTTTACCTTGCAACAGACTAACTACTGACCTCTTAAAGATTAGTGACACATCACAACTGTCATACACGTGGGAGGTTATAGACATTGGCGCAACTTTTTGGAAGTTTTGGTCCTCGGTGCTCTTCGGCTTTGTACTTGTTTTGGCTTTCAAGCTTTTTTCATCTGAGCGTCACTGGATGGTCTTTTGTGGACGAGACGCACGTCTGGCGTATTGAATTTTAAGCCTAGTACCTTTTGTTAGCTATTATTCGTGTGTTTCTTTGTCCAATATGTTCTCCCATTTATTTGTATTGTGGTCCTGTCATGTGATGTTGTCGTTTTGGTGTTGTGTTTGACGTTGCCATTAAAGCGGGAGGTTTGGCATGCCACAAAACCAGGTTCAACCCACCATTTTTTTCTTAAAATGTCCTGTACCAAGTCAGGAAAATGGCCATTGTTATATTATAGTTCGTTTCTGTGCGTGTTACATTTTAATGTTGTGTTTTTGTTGTGTCGTTGTTCTCCTCTTATATTTGATGCGTTTCCCTCAGTTTTAGTTTGTAACCCGGATTTGTTTTTATTTCTATCGATTTATGAGTTTCGAACAGCGGTATATTACTGTTGCCTTTATTTAGCTAGATATAAAACCAGGTTAAATTCATCACTTTCGTCGGAACATGCATGTACCAAGTCAGGAATATGATAAATGTTTTCCATTCGTTCCGTTGGTTGATATAATCGAGCGACTGATTTTGTCAGGTTAAATGGATTTTCCCTTTTTCTAATTTACCTTTCAATTCGGTAATTCTTTTAATACTGTTTTCTCTTAATATATTACATCTATATAAGTTTCAATTTTGACGGACGTGGCTGTATGTTTATACATCCTAAACTACCAAACCGACAGCCGCCCTTCAACATTAGTTTGACTGGTAGACGACAGAAGTCATAGTTAACATATTTCTATACCCAAGTCAACCATTGCGGTGTGTTGAGTCGTCAACTACATATGTGTTCTATGACAGCACACCCTTAATATCCAATATTGTAATGTGTTTATTTTTATCACATCCTCTGTAACACAGTTTGAAATGAATGACACAGACAATGCACTGTGTTTTACTTTAACGACGTATAATCTAGATAGGCAAACGAGCTGGGGAAGGGGAAGGGGGTTGTACATTTTGTTCTTGTAACAAGTCAGGCTAATTTGACTACATGTTAGTCGTTGATGTTTGTCTTTGTTTGTACGTCTATGTGGAGTCGGTTACTTGTGATTGGTGCGGTCTGTTGTCCTGTTCAGTATATTTGGTAATTCCTGTTATCTTTTTATGTATTACAATACATACATCTACTTATTTTCGCAGGATACTTCATCGCCCTTTTCGCGATTTATTTTTTCATTTTCTTGATGTATCTATACTATGGGAGACTTAATTAAATTTTAAACATTCTCGACGGTTTACAATATATTTGCGTTATTTTCCTACTAACGAAAGTCGCAAAAGTTAGTTGGTTTACAGTATTTGACAAATATAAACTTCATATATAAACTAAGCGAGGTCAAAGTGTTTGAATTAAAGTGCACTATCAACAGATCCTTGGTATGAAAAATTAAGAAGGTGTGGCCTGATTGTCAATTAGACAAATATCCTCCAAAGACCGAAAGACGAGGATGTAAACAAATATAAGACTACTTGTGTGTACGGCCTTCAAAAACGAGAAAAAAACCATACCGTATAATAAAAGGCCTGCCATGAAAAAAGGGAAACAATTCAAAATAAAAAACCAACGGTTTGATTTATGCTAAAACTATAAACAAAAAAAACCAAATATGAAAGACAGCAACAAACGACAACCATTGAGTAACAGGCTCCTGTCTTCGGACAGGCACATACAGAATTATGCCGGGTTAAACATGTTTGTGATCCCTCAACCCTCCACTTACAAAAAAAGGGGACAGTGGTGTAACAGCACCAACACAAGAATAAACTATAATCATTACATGACTATGTACAGCTTATATAAATTATACGGTCGCCATGCTGATATAATTCACTTTTTTCAGGGTCAAGAAGTTTCTAACGCTATTTGAGACATAAATCCTACATTTGAACCCAACATATCCTCAATGGTCCATATGACATAGTTCATGGTCTGGTCATGCTTTGACACTACTACATAGAAAATGGCTTTCAAATCGTGTGATGTTTGTTGCATTTATAGCAAGAAGTGCTTACCCGCTCGATGCATATGGTTTGCAAACTTGGTAGTATTAATTGTCGACATATTCTCTTAACCCTGCTATAACAATTTTGACGAGAGTTATGGGACTTGATCAATCTAGTTAAAATTCAGATCTATCGTAACTCTCTTACTCGTCAGCATAACAAAATCGGAGATCAATATTTTAATTAGATTGGATTGCTTGCCACCATGACTGTGAAACTCACCATATTGTAGAGTCAATTGGAATTTTAAGGAGTTTAGGGACTTTGACCATATCTTAAGTAGCATGAGTGATACAATGACACCTTGTGAACGTATGGCCTCTATGACGATTTAATAGAAAGCTATCTTACTTGGTGGGATTGTTTGCCATCATGTGTAGTTGACGATATTGTAGCACCATTTTTAATTCAACCATTTTTACAGAAGTTATTGGATTTTGCTATTTTTTGGAGAATTGAAATATAAAAATGAGGAGATGTGGTATGATTGCCAATGAGACAACTATCGACCAAAGTTCAAATGAAGTGGATGTAAGCAATTATAGACAACAGTACGGCCTTCAACAATGAGAAAACCCATACCGTATAGTCGGCTATAAAAAGCACCGACATCAAAAATATGATACCATTTAAAAAATTGAGAAAACTAACGGCCTAATTTATAACATTACAATTTACGAAATACAAATACGAAAGACATGAACCAATGACAAGCACTGAATTATAGGCTCCTGACTGACTTGGGACAGGCACAAAAAGAATGTGGCGGGGTTAAACATGTTTGTGTGCGCTCAACCCTCCCCTAACCTGAGATAGTGGTATTACAACAAAACATAAGAACAAACTATAAATATCAGTTGAAAAGAGCTTAACTCATCAGATCGATACAATTTTTGAAAGCAGAAAAAACATCTAAAAAAAAACACAGACAAGACGTGACAGGTAGTCACTTTGTAAACGCAACTCTACTGAGTTTAACCTCTCATACTTGGTTGGATTGGTTGCCACTATGTGTAGTTGACCATATTGGAGCTACATTTTGATTCAACCATTTTTACAGGAGTAATTGGACTTTGACTATTTCTTGGAGAATTGAAATAGTCATTTAGTAAACGCAACTCCAGTGGGACTATTTGACATAAACCACTCGTACTTGGTAGGATTGTTTGCCATCATGAGCAGTTGGCAATATTTTACCGTCATTTTGAGAAGAAAGTTTTTATGGGAGTTATCGGACTTTTACCATATTATTGGTTATCGTATCACAATGACACACAATGTGACACACAATTTAATTCCTCATTCGTACAGCGTGAGTGGAGATTCCGCTACGTCGTAGTAATCTCGTATTGATATTTCTTCATCATGATATTTAAATTTAAAACGTAAACCTTGGATTTTGTATTTAATTTCTTTCTTAACAATGACCAACCTACCTTTACTACAAAGTATGTAGTACTTGAATTTACAATCAACTGTTCTCAATTTATAACCACCTGTCAAGCGTACACAGTTTTCCTTTTTACTCTGACAATTACTTAGGGGGTTAGTACCCTGCATACAATTAGGTTCTCCACTATCCCATGCTGCCCACGTAAGAATTTCATTATCCAACCATCTGAATTTTTCATCACTTGTATCATACATCAAACCAATGAACATGTGGGTGTTCGGAGCACTGAAAAAAGGGTTATAATCAAATTTAATATAGGCTATAAAAGTTCGAAACTAACTCAGAAAAATACACACAAAAGCACATTTGATTACGTAGTTTAGTTGATAATATAAAACAAAAACACAAAATTTATCATATTTAAGTTCAATTTAATTCCATTTATTAATAATCCTTTGTATTTATCTATTCCGGTTTTATTGAGAGTAACATTGAGTACGAAAAGAAAATGCATCACGTGATTTATAAAAAGAATAACCGGAATCCCCAAAAATACAGGACATCACAACAGACCAGATCAACCGCCATCAACCGACTCCTCAGGACAGGATATTTATATTCTCATTCAACATGCCAACTATAGAATATACTTATTAAATCTCTGCCGCAAAGATCGCGTTACTAGTACACGAGTGAGGGTGTGGTCGTGTCAACAGATTTGTAATTCAAGCCAAAAGACAAACACCAAATAATATCTTTCTCATCGGTATTGCCATCCAAAACACCTTTAGTAGCCAAATCATTATCATACATAAAGATACAAAGGAAAACGAGAATACTTGTGTGGCAATTATGCCCAAATAAAGAATGATGTTTGAATCACAAAATGATATAAATTTGACATGAAAATAGATATGGTATGAACAATTTTCTGGAAAAGGACATGATTAAGAAGAGATGCGCAAATAATTTTCATAAAATTGTGAAATGATTATGTCCAATAGACAAAATGATCTTTCGGCTTTAAAATGAATTATTTAAAGTGAAAATTTGTTGAAATTTGTTGAAATATCAGAATACGATAAAGATTCTTTGACATAAAATCAAGGGGTTTTAAATTTCAGTCTAGTAAGATAACTACACAAGACACATGGGTAGCAATTTGAATGCAGAATACATAATAATAATAATAATAATAATAATAATAATAATAATATACTTTATGCAAATTTCTTATATTATCCATTCATTTCATTGGACACGTGGCATTTGTTAATTTTCACTAACCTTTCGTAAGCCCCGCCTACCCATAGCATCATGTGATTATTATTATTATCATTATTATTATTATTATCATTATTATTATTATAATAATTATAAATCTTTATCTTATACATTTATTTGAAAGGATAGCTTGTTTGAATCTAAATAATCATACGAGCGCTTACGTAGGAAGTTTATATAAATTCGTCTAAATTAACAGGGTTGGTTTTTAATTTTCGTCGGCACAACTTCAATTTTCTCAATTTTATTTGCAATGTTTTCCTTCTCAATATTATGCCATGCTTATGTGCTAAACAATCCGGCATTTAAACACTCTTGCCTTTAACATTTTTCATGCTGGGGCCTTTTAAAGCAAGAAAATACTTATTTTAAAAAAAAACATTTTTGTATTTTTCTTGAACTATTGTATATATAAACCAAATTTGTAAACAAAATTTATCAAAAAATATCAATAATAATAAAATAAATGTTAAGAAAACAAAATGTCAAAGTGGCTTGGTACTTAAACGGCTTCATGGTGCCAAGAAAAATATCCTTTGCATGATTGAAATTTAATAAATCTTCATTTATCAAGGCTAATGAACAATTTCTTAAACTGTAAAAAGAATATATGTAATAAAAAGTAAATATTTCAAGATATTTATCTTATAAATTCAAACAATTGTCAACAAATTATTTGTGACTTTTTGTCCTATGACTTTTGTCCTATCAAATTTGTGACTGTCTGTCCTGTCTGGCAGTTGTTATCAAATAGTCCGTTTCTTTGTATGTTGGCGTTTGTTTTTGTAGCAGTTCAGTGTTTATGTTGTTCTGTTGATTTCCTCTTATAGTTGATGTGTTTCCCTCGGTTTTGGTTTGTTACCCGGATTTGTTTCAGTTAAATCGATGTATGACTATTAAACAGCGGTATACTACTGTTGCCTTTATCTGTGACTTTCTGTCCGCTTACCTTACAAACTGTGAACTTTGAAATTATCTTTATATAGGAAACTTTTGTATCATCACCTTTGAAAACTCATTTTAAACTGACTAGAATAAGTAAACTATCGTTATATAAAATGTAGATCTTGTTTGAAGATATCTTTCGATAAGTTAAACCATGGAAATATTATATTGTCAATATAATATTTTCATGGTTAAAATTTGATAAATTTGCAAAATAAACCATTTTATTAAGTTGTTGGCTCTTCTCTTTTGTCTAACGCCTTATCAATTGAGTTGTTATACATCTGTATAAACGACTTACCAAACAAAACCCATGATTCCCTAGGGTAATTATCACAGTTATGGTGATTAATCGATTACAATGGTTTTACTATACTTACCCTCCTATGCTGTTTAAATATTGTCGAACGTTATTCATATCGTTTTTATTTTTGATAAATGCTGGTGTCTCCCCATGGTTACTACATCTATCTCTTCCTTTATCATATTTTTCAGCGACTTTGAACAGTTGATAAATGTAATTACTTTTACTCAAACCTTAAAAACAACATAACGTATTCTTTAGGCAAACCGATAATGACACATTTCATTGCTTTTCCTCTATCTGTATTCGGCGTACATCAAAATAAACTTCAACCTTTTATATGAATTTGAAATGAATACAAGCATCACCAACCTATTCCCTGACACTGATATAGTCTTGTTCAATAGCTTGGCAATGGTTCATTGACTTCTGATACTGTTGATGATATTTTCGCTGGTTTGTAATAAGAAACGATGATACATGTAAAAGCACATTTTACTCCCGCATTCAGAATTTTGGATCATCTATATCTTTATTTATAAACTTTGTGTTCATAATGTTTGTAGCGTTATTGTGCAAGTTTAATTCTCCTATGTAAAGAATATTAGCGCTTCGGACGCATGCAATTTATAACGTGTTGTTATCATTTTTTACATGTACCTATATTGGATTGGGGACATTGTGACAACATATACCCCAAAATCTGTTAAAAAATTAATTTTACGGTCCTAAAATCTGTCGGTACCTATATGTTTTTTCTTTGATTGTTAATGCCGTCTTTACACTAAATTTATTGGATGTTGGATGTGTACTTATTGATATTTTAGTCTTAGATGCATGATTTTTTATTAGTTTTTTTTTTGGCTTTGAACTATATTTCAGTAACTGCGAGTACTCTCAGATCTGTACATTGTGTCTTTTATGTTTTTGTTAGAGTGTTGTGTGCTTGTGCTTTGTATCGATCTGATTAGTTAAGCCCTTTTCAACTGATTTTTATAGTATGTTCCTATTTTGTACTGTTACTCGACTGTCCCAGGAAAGGGGGAGAGTTTGGCGCCAGAAAACATGTTCAACCCCGCCACATTCTGTATTTACCCGTCCCTAGTCAGGAGCCTGTAATTCAGTGGTTGTCGTTTGATGATGTATATCATATTTGTTTTTCGTTTATTATTTTGTACATAAATCAGTTAGTTTTCTCGTTTGAATTGTTTTAGATTTGTCATTTCGGGGACTTTTATAGCTTAATATACGGTATGGGTTTTGCTCATTGTTGAAGGCCGTACGGTGACCTAAACTTGTTAAATTCTATTTCATTTTGACTCTGGTAGAGAGTTCTCTCATTGACAATCATACCATCTTTTTAATTTCATATGATACTATCACCCGCTTTAGTTTTTTTTAACATCTGTTTTCTTTGTGTTTGCTGATGCAGTTCTGTTATGGAATATCTGAGTTAGAGGTGACCACTGATATTTTATACTTGCCTTGACCACCCTTGTTTCCTCTTTTCCGTATTCATCACCTCAATGCGAGTTACCGACGTTTTTTACTTGAATGAACCACATGATTGTTGCAACTAGTGACACATGAATTGATAACACTTCCGGAGCACATGAATGCACTCCCTGATTTTCAGTTCGGTTTTCAATGTTTAGGTTTTGAAATTCTGTGTTATATTTTGAGAATAATTGTTTGCTTGTCTGTATGTTCTTTTTTTTTTTCTGTTCGTTGTTCTGTCTTTTTTCGCAGACTTATGGTTTTTGATTACACTTTTTGTATCTTCTCCTTTTTCGTGATCAAACATCACAATGTTACCTACTGACCATATATGTTTTTTTTATCAATTCTTTTTTAGTAATTTGAAGCTGGATTAAATCAAATCGTATAACTACTGAAAAGGTAACTTACCAAATTGCAGTGAAAACACAAAATGAAGGATGCATGTGATTTTAAAATCCATTAGACTGTTTTAACGAAGTAGTTTCGGCATAAATCAATCCATTCTCATATATCAGCAGTATATGTCAATCGTTATAGACCATGCATACTGTTATAACACTCATGTACTTACTGAATCTCACTTAAACAGTTAAATTGTATTTGCTTAAACATTGTTACATTAACTTGTACATACGTCATCTAGCTGATTGTAGGTATCTTTTGATCAATAGCGGGATGGATACCTAACATTTGACAAAAATTAGGTAGATAATTCATAATGAAAATAAGTTATCTTTGTTTGAATTTTAACTTTTAATTTGATCGATAAAACAGTAGATCACTTATAGAATAAAATAACATATGATACTAATTACAATAAACAAAACACAGTTATATCTGTCTCCGGACGTACGCTGAAAACATTCGTACATTTACTTAAAAGTTCCATTAATCGAACTTGAGCTGCCATTTGATAAGGGACTTTCTGTTTTGAATTTTCCTTGGAGTTCGGTATTTTTGTATTTTACTTTTTAGTGACTGACAAATGCCGAAAACATATGGAATGGTTTTAATCGCCCATCATCTGCTCATGGCAATTTGTAAACTTTTCTCGCTCAAAGATGAAGGGTAAGTTAGATAATTGCAGTGGAAATCTCAAACTTTCAATCCCGGTCGATTCAATCTATAGGACCTACCTAGAGGATTCACTGTTTTTTCGCGTCCTTGACATGTTACCTGTGAAAGACGATAAATCCGTATTATTTTAGTGATACTCTTTGGTAATAAAATATCTATTCAAATTTGCAAGAACTTTTATGCTTTACAACGTGGCAGCCTCAGTCAACAGCGTTAATGCGCAAGTACAACTGTTGTACACAAAGGTTAACGATTGGATTCAATAAAGTATTATCTTTTATTTTAATTTTATTATTTTCTTATTTCTGTGTCAATATGAAGACTGCGTTCTCTAATATGAGGCAGTAGTTACCAATGAGAGAGGACAAGGTCCGTATAAATAATATTTAAATATTTTTTGCGAAGTTAAAACTACAGTTCATCTTATCAGGGGACGACCCTTTGATATTCTATGAGGTGAGTGGGCTAGAAGATTTTGTCAGTGAAAGCCACTCGAAAATTAATTTTCTATTTTGTACACAATTATTCCTGCAAATAACTGCAATTCGTGTTTCAGTATGTTCGTTATTATCCTGTCTTGGACAAGATTATTTATTTTCAGTTTTTTCAAGGCCAGAATATTCATTTTCAACATGTTCGTATAGTTGCCACTGGAATTTGATAAAATTAAAAAAAAAAAAACATCAATTTTATATAATTTAAACTGAAAAAGGATTCCTCACTCAGACACAGTTCAGACTGCTTCATAATTTGATGTAGAAATTGACCGTGAGGGTCGGTCTTCATTTCAAGTATTTAGAAGATATAAAAAATAAGATTTATAAATTCCCTTGAAAACTAAAAACATTTTCTAATTTAACATCCCCTATCGTCTGAACAATCTATCGTCGGAATTGATTTTTTCCATATATTATAAATAGTCCGACAAAATTGAAACTTTACTCAGTTGGTTACGGACAGTAAAAATGAAAGAAAAGCTTTTAGATATTTGACTATGTCAATTATGTATTATATTTGTATAGGCAACAATCATGTATATTTGTTTAATAATGGATGTTTATGAACATAGCGAACGACAAATCAATCTCCAAGCAAATCATATTTATAGGCTGGACAAGACAAATAGACATGAAAGATATTTTATTCAACCTCATAATGTACATATATATAAACATAAACAAATATAAAAGGTAAACAACAGCGTATACATAAGCCACTCTAAAAAGAATTATGAGAACCTGATTTAAACACATATGACATATACATAAAACTAATGTATATGTTACAGGTATTTTCTAAATTTAGGCATTCTGTAAAATGATAGAAAAAATATAGGCATTTTATAAAATGCTTGCAAAAATTGAAAGGCATTTTACAAAATGCCTGATATTATTTCATAGAATGAAATGTTAAAAAAACTGAACCATTGAAAGTAGAGAACAACAAAGATTTATGATCTATTAATTAAAGAATTTTAACGCTTGCATTTTAAGAGCTTTATAGATTAGTGATTAAATCTACAGTATTTGAAATTCCTTCAAACACTGACCTCCACCATTATTTGTTATTTAATCAAATGTTTTGATGGCAGGTTCTGTTTCTTATTTCTCCTGATTTTATGCAAATACATCGTTTAGCGTAAAATATGGTCTTAGCACTACAACCACATTGTGTTAAAACTTAGGACCATGACACATTCAGCCCTGTCAAAACTTTTTCTGATAAAGCACTAACGTTCATAAAACATGCGGTTTCGCAAACAGCACATACATGAATATCTTCTTTTTTATGTGTTCCTAAAAAGTAAAATAACAAAAATACCGAACTCCAAGGGAAATTCAAAACGGAAAGTCATTTATAAAAAGGCAAAATCAAAAGCTCAAACACATCAAACGAATGGAAAACAACTGTCATATTCCTGACATGGTACAGGCATTTCCAAATGTAGAAAATGGTGGATTAAACCTTGTTTTATAGCTAGCTAAACCTCTCACTTGTATAACAGTCGCATAGAATTCCATTATATTGACAACAACAAACAGAGATAATTAGTGAAAATGTCAAAAATTGGGGAACAGCAGTCAACATTGTAATGTAATCTTTATCACTATAAAAACAAATAACTATTTCAACAAAGAAAAACAAAATGGCATATAGACACTCTATAGACAAAGTACATAAGCAAAAATGAAAACAAGAATACAAAATTGACCATAGCACAATAACACAATGGTGCCGAGCCACGCCAAAAGTATATTACCAAAAATAAGGTTAAAAATGTAAAAGGACAAATAAAAGAAACACTATAACACGTTATTAAGATGATAAACAACGTCAGTACCTAGAATCTATACTTCAAGACCATCAAAAAGATTCTAAGTAATATTTACATTATTAGGTTGACTTATATATTTTAGCTTATCAGAGCATTCTACAGGCTGAAGCAGATCTTCATACGGGTGATGCATGCATAGCAGGAGACATTTACCCTGTCAACGCACCCGGTCTCACTTCCTATGGAGTTCATGCGATTCCCTTAGATTTTCTTTGTTACCTTGATTTGTCTTTTCTTGATCGATTTTCGAGATTTTTTTAAACATCTTTGAATTACTGTTCCGTTAATTCAACAGATTGTAAAGACCCAATAATTCACTTGAGGCAGTGAAGATGAAAAACGCATATCTTTGCATCACAACCAAACATGCCCTTGTATGGTGAAACCCATGCTTAAAAGACGAATCCGTTTGAATGTGCAGGACGTATAAATTTGCATTCTTTCTGAATAGGGATGTTTAACCTGATGCCTCGTGTAAGCAGAGTACGTTAAGAACTCGGTGACCGTTCGTTCCGTAGGTGGCATGTTGGAAGTCACCATTTCTGTCCCTATTCAACATACCTTCATTTCAGTCGACAATCAAAATTCCTGTCCTTTATCCGGGTCAATCCATTGCACAATACTTACCCATTTAACTAATTATCAATTTGTTCTCGTCCTAAATAATAAATTCATTTGTAAATTTTATCCTATTGTAAAAACAATTTGTCCTTCTGCCATCGTGACAAGAAGATTATAAAACAAAGTGAGTAAAATTCATACTAAATGTAATTTCACAAAAAAAGAACTCATCATAGACATACAAACTTGCCAAGCTTGTATTTGAAGAATAAACTTTATATTACCGAACCATTTGCTATTTTCTTTGCAAGATATTTGTGTTTTTGGTCATATGTATGTCAATAATATTCTTTTTCTCCTAATTACCGGAAATTGCACAGACAATTTTTTGAATTTTGTTTTGAAATTTTAGTCATTTACAAAATGACTAAGGGAGCAACCATTTAACTTCAGAGGAGGGGGGTTATGGTTTTTTTGTCTGAGTCAGAAAATTTTGGGGATCAGAATATTTTTTAAGGAAAAAACCATAACCCTCCCCTCCCCCTTGAAGTTAAATGGTCGTTCCCTAAGTATTTTTAGTCACTTGCTATAATGCCTGTCAATGTTATGCATTTCATAAATTACCTAAAAGTTCTTTCATTTTACAATATAGTTTAGAACATACCTAAAACAAGTATTACACCTATGTGTTACATAGACATATAAAAAATTAAACAACATCAAATTCATAAGCCACTCGGAAAAAAAATCTTTTGGATTTTACAACAATATTATCTAAATCCTCTTGAAACAAATACCAATACTGACGATTTGATCTTTGAAAAATACTTCCCGATTATTTATAAAGAAATTACGAAACTCTTTCTTTTGATTTCGCGTTTTACACTTTATCCACATTTTTCAGTAATTACACACTTCATTCAAGAGAACTGCTAAATCACCATTCACCATGGTTTCTGTGTTGATGGACATATACTTGGTGTTCAACGTAATTTTCGTGGATATTCAAAGCGAGAAGTACCAACAATATTCCATTGAAAGTATACTAAATAAAATTATCACAAAAATTGTTCTCTATCTTTGATATCTCATTGATATTTTGGTTGTGGAGAGATAGTTCTTGTCACAGTGTTGGTAGATCGAGTAAGTGTTACTGTTTCTTTGATATTAACAATACACCAATTTCTGCTCATTCAAACATATTCGATATACTGAATTAAACAAATTGTGATGATGCATTAAAATTTTCTACATTTTTCAGAATACTGAAATGCATTTTTCAAAATACTGAAATGCAATAATGACTATTTAATCCTCAATAATGATAAAATCAGCATGCTTGAATTATTAGTTTTAATAAATAGTTTTTTTTTTATATATATATAAAGTATGGTAAGCATAAACACTGATATCTTCGTTTACTATAAAAATTGACGACAATCTCTTTTTATGGATACGTTTCGAAAGCAAATTGTATTCAAATATAATTGCATCACGGATGGTTGAAAAATAGTGGGGAATGAAACTAATGTTGATGTATAATAGTTTATTGGGAGCACTGGATACTATGATAAGACTATAATGTACTGTACGCAATTAACTACAATAGAGGGTCGAAAACAATCAAATCAACTCTTATTTGGATACAAATAATTTGTTTAGTTCGGTCACAATACTGATTAAAAGTTATTTAAACAAAATTATACAGATGTATATTTTGATAATTTCTTGTACTGGAATATTGAATATACTTGCAAATACATATTGTCTGAACTTCATTATTTACCGAGAAAAAATAGTGAATTTAACGAATAAGAACCGTTTGCTTTACTGATCTTTTAAAATATATAAATGCTTGCTGCATATTGATAAACAAAAATTGGCAAAACATTATACACAATCATATAGGGATGCTCTTCCTATATATTAAATTGAGTGCCTATATATCTGAGATGAAATCTATTATATAAGTAAACAATGGTGCAATTTAAAAATATTTTTTTGATAAATGGCTTTTTACTAGAATGTAAATATTTTCCAGTAGCAAATTTCGATTTTCAATAAAAACTTAATCATTATAAATAGGCATATTACGGACGGAAATCCGACGTAAACATTCATATAAACATTACATCTCTAATTGTATATTGTCCGTATATAGTTATCCTTGACATTTCTCCCCGGTTCTAAAACTGTTTATTTCAAGTTTTTATGTGTTATACATTTTCACTGTAAACTAATTGATTTTATCTCAATTTCACACGTACTTGTCTGTGAAAAAGTAAAGTTAAGGTATATATGTATATTTCGTGATCTCTTTTTTCAGGACGTCAAATTTAAGGCAATTAAATTTATCAAAAATTCATAAAAGTAATGGTTTAAAACATATCTTCTCATTTGAATACTTCCGATATCTCCTTCAAAGATAGCACTTTTTTTTCTTCATGAATGTAAAAATTATTCTTAAATATATTTAAACACTTAAAACTGGGAACGTAATTACCATAAAAAGCACTTACCATATCATACATGTACTAAACACATATCTAATTTTTGCAAATACATATATTTATAGGATGCACATTAATCACAATGATAAACGTTTTTGTTACAGTTTTGTTTGAGTTATCTCTCTTGTTTCATGGTATTCAGTTTTTCAATGTTCAACTTACTATGAACGATTGTAGGTAACTTTTTAATTTTAACTTATCAGGCTTACCAGGGTCTAATGAGCCGGGGTTGGGGTGCATATAAGGGACTAATGAGCCGGGGGCATAAGTTAGGATTATAAAATTTATATTTCCTTACTAATTTTAAATGTACATTATACTTCGGTATCAATTTTTCATTACAAATGGTGAAATATATTTGATACTTCTTATATACAGTTTGTACAAAAAAATGATACAAATAATCTGGCCAAAAGTTAGCATATCAACCTCCTTAGATTTACAGAAAAAAAGCACATTATGATTAAATCAATCTATGTTAAAGTCATTTTCTGTCATTATGTTTACAGATGTAAATTCAGGAACAAAGGATCGTGACTCAGAACATGTTTTAAATCGGGTGCTTGTACATGATAAGTATATCGGAGTAGTGGTTTAATTTCGAACACATGAACATCGCCTACCATCGTTACCATTGGCTGTGAAATAACAAAGAATCCAGTTTTGGTCGGATATTTATCCTCTTTTGAGCATTCAGATAAGTAAAAATGCTGATATTCACTTAGGATTTCTTTCATAGTATTATACTTCAAGTTGAAGTCACCACCTATTAAAATATAAACTGGTTTTCCTACCATAAACATATCCACAAGAGTAAGCATATCTTTAAGAACCCGTTTTCTTTTTTCCATATCTGCATACGCTGGTCCACTCCATGATATGAAAATAAATTTAAAATCGTTGCTCAACATCTGAAGTTGTGCCACACATAACCTCGGCATTACTTCATTTTCGGTGCTTAAAATGCCAGTTTTCTCCAATTCATCACAAAGAACACTGACTTGCCTTCTTAAAGTTGCACAGCCTCTGGTTTCAAAAATCTGAGTTCGAAACAGAACAGCGGCCTGCTTGCTGCCGAGGCATCCAAATTTTGGATACCGCCCCGTCCTTGGTAGAAAGCTATCGATGTTGATATCCGATTCTTGAATAAGAACTATGCTAGCTTTGGTTTCCAATATAATTTCTCGTCTGGCCTGTTTTCTTTTTCCGATGACGTCTACATCTCTGTTGATATTCGTTGAGTGTTGTCCGCTCGCATTCATTATCAGAACAGTTGCCATCTTGCAATTCAGCTTTATACAAAAAATCAAACAGTGATTATAATCTTTTGGATCCTGTAAAACTACTATTCACTTAAAGACATTTTGGTATCTGATTGAAGCTCTGTTCAATTAAAACAACATTATGAAATTATTGCTGTTATATACTTTCATGTTATGGACTTCTTGTGTCAGTTGATGCTCTTGTTTAGCTATTAGTTAAATATTGTGAAGAATTTGTAATTTAGAACAATTGCAATTTGTATTTACTATCAATACAGTTTGGCAGCTGCATTATTTAACTGTGTGGTATAAATATAATCTCCAATGATTAACAAGCTTGATGTTTTACTCACAAATGTATATACTTAACATTAAGCACTGCCCCCTTATGTGTAAAGTTACCTTATATATGTTTTAGATTCAACTGGATTATACTTATTTATTGTTGTGTTTATACCAGATTATAAGTCCCCAAAACGTCTTATAATGTCCTTACAATAAAGTGGCAGTTTTATGTATAAGACTCTAGCATGAAGTCGTGCAAATATTTCAATAATACACTAAATCAAAGATAGTGTGCTTCTTTTATCCAAATATGCTGAGAGGTTCGCAATATACTGATAACTGTACAAACATTCTGTGTACAAAATTCCAACTTATATAGCCAGTGCTATTACCTATTAAAGTATAAAATATCATAAAACGAACTGTAAAAAAAATGATTTAATTGTAAATTGAATTGAATATTAAAAATATTAACAGAATAATTATACGATACTCACTTAAAAATTATATCGCTTCGTTAAAAAATAAGGTATTGTATGACTTGTCATGCTTTCATTCATTTGTATTAAAGAATGTTTTAGATTTATTGTGTTAATTACAATTGAAAAGTAAAACAAGTAAAACAATACCTTCATGGTATGCTAACTTAAAATAAACATCGGTGAACAATTAATTTTATATGATAGAATTAATGAGGGAGCGAGAATGTCATACGCTATAAATATAATACTACGTACAGTCACTGATAGCCTGCTTTCAACTAACAGATATGGCATGTATTCCCAAACTTAAATATCAATCTATCGTATGAATATTTCCCTTACGATCAGGTATTTTACAGACTATTTCAAAAACCGATTCATTATAGATAAAGGTTCTTCGAATTTAAAGGGATATGATTTCTTTGCGAGCAGCACTTGTTTCTTGAATAAACTTCATCATGTGTCTTCGAGACCAACATTTTGGAAACTAAAATTATGAATTATTGGAGAGCACAAAACCCAAAGGGTCTGAATAGTACTATCAAAACTGTCTTTGGTCCACAATGCTCTTCAACTTCTTACTTGATTTGGCCTTTTTTACTTTGTGACTCGTCTTTTGTAGACGAAACGCACGTCTAAATTTGAATCCTGGTATCTATGATGAGTTTATTAACAACCATTGGGTCGATGTCACTGCTAGTGGAGATTTCCTCCCCGAGGGTATAACAAACCCAGTAGTAACCACTTCGGTGTTGATATGATTTATTATTGATATGGTCATAATTACAAATCAACTGTATACAAAACTTTGAATTTTTCAAAAAAATAAGAATTTTCTACCCCAAGAATAGATTACCTTAGCTGTATTTGGAAAAACCTTTTAGCATTTTCTGTCCACGATGCTCTTCAAGATCGTACTTTAATTGGCCTTTTTTACTTTTTTGACTCGAGCGTCACTGATGAGTCTTTTGTAGACGAAACGTCCGTCTGACGTACTAAATTTGAATCCTGGTATCTATAATGAGTTTAATTAAGTCAACTTTTTTATATGGACATGCAACATTACTTCTGTCAATTACACATTTAATTCCGGAAACTGAACTCAATTCTATTTTACATCAGTAATAGATCACCTTGGCTGTATTTGGCAAAACTCCGAACTTTATTTGGCCCTTTTATAAACTTTTTTCGAGCATCACTGATGAGTCTTTTAAAGCCGAAACTCGCGTTTGGCGTACTAAATTGTAATCCTGGTTATCTATGATGAGTTTATTTAGTGTGAACGTATCAATAAACCGTGTAAGGGAACAATCAGATCTAAAGTTTACAACTTAAAACAATTGTGTTTTTTTTATAAATAAAATGATTATAGACAAAGGTAATGCCAAGGGTTTCAAATAAATTGTAAAGTTGAAAAAGAGGCGGAAGACTCCAAATAGATTTTTAATTGCCCCAATTAAAAATCCATTTCATTAAATCCGTTTAGTAAATAACACGAACCCCATCAAAAATCCAGGGGTGATATAAAAAGTAAAATAACAAAAATACCGAACTCCAAGGAAAATTCAAAACGGAAAGTCCCTTATCAAATGGCAAAATCAAAAGCTCAAAACACATCAAACGAAAGGAAAACAACTGTCATATGCCTGACTTGGTACAGGCATTTCCCTTATGTAGAACATGGTGGATTAAACCTGGTTTTATAGCTAGCTAAACCTCTCATTTGTATGACAGTCGCATAAAATTCCATTATATTGACAACAATGTGTGAACAAAACAAACAGACATAATAGGTAAAATGTCAAAAATAGGGGAACAGCAGTCAATATTGTGTTATAATCTTAATCACTATAAAACAAACAAACATGGCAACAATGAAAAACAAAATGCATATAGACAAAGCACATAAGCAAAAATGAAAGACAGGAATACAAAAAATGACCATAGCACAAAACACATTGGCGGGATGTACAAGTACCGAGCCACGCCAAAAGGATATTACCAAAAATGGACTAAACAGTAATGTTAATAATTTACAAAGACAAATAAAAGAACACTATAAAATGTAATTAAGATAATAAACAACGTCAGTACCTAGAATCTATACTTCAAGACTATCGTGTATTATTTGTGAAGTTGATACGGAATATTTATCAACAAGGTATCTTCCGAGGATTTTTTTTTAGAAAAAGGACGAGACGTTCTTTAATATAACCCTGGTTCATCAACTTTCTGCTCAGACACTTATATCAGGACATGTGGCTGCCGTCGTGTTGCTCGTGGTATTAAACATTTACTGACAAGTTTCATTCGGTGAAGACCCATTGAGGAATCTCATCATCGTTTTAGTTTTTGTTTTTGCCATGGTGTTGTCTATTTTTATTGGACATATGATTTTTGATTATCCCCTTGTAATTTTCGTAATAATATGTCACATTCGTTTTTTTTTTTGTTTGTTTGTTATAAAATATAACGACTTCCAGTGAATATATTTACCGTGGATGATACAAAAGGAGAATGAGGCATACTGAATAATGAAAACTTGAAGTCAACGTTATTGAAGTGACACACTGGAGAACATCCTCATTAATTGGTACCGTTAATGGAATTAAAACTATATATAAATTCATTGATACATTTGTAAAATAGGTGAAAAAAATACAATGCTTATAGGTGTCCACTTATATACATATATATATTTTTTTGTTTATCCGACTACAAAAACATTTTGAAATCTGTGCGGAAAATGCAAATACAAACGAAAAACAAATGTACGTAGAACATACTATGATATTATTGTGGTGTGCATTCAATGATCAAACATATACTGTTGTTGTGCTAATATGTTTGATAGAAAAAAGTTTGTAAATATAGTATCGCTTAGAATTTGACATAATGTAAATGGAATTCAAACATTCAAACATTTGTATATATATATAGATGACTGAGACTGTTGTGGTTTACGTATTTTTTTATATTTTTTGCAATATGTTACACGTTCAATGCATAACGCATATTAGCATACAGTTACACGAATGTTTGGATCATTGTTATCATAGTAGTCATCTTCAGAGTCTTGCATTGCTTTCTGCACGCATGCATACAAGTCACTTGTATCAACATGCAAAATGGGTTCACTGAGTTTTCGGCCTTGCTCAGGCAAACTATATGTGTCCGAAAGTCTGACATCACTATTTTGATGATTTTGTGATGGCTTTCGTAGCCTTGTATCTAGACTTCCAGTATAAGTTATGTCTATTGGCTGACCTTGTGGGTTAGCAGACGGATGGCATTGTGCACGAACATTATGAATAATATAACTTGTATCCCCATATGACCTTTCGGAATATGGATGAATATTCCTGACTTCTGGTTGTCGATAACGCTGTTGGTTTCCATTGTTCTTTCGTCTCCAGGAATTAGAAGGAAAGCCATCCCTACTTATTACATAGTTCTGTTGTAAAATTCTTTGGGTTGTTCGAAATGGCGATTCTTGAGCATCACATGGGATTTCATAAAGTATTTCTGGTTCTGATGGTGTTGCATGATTACTATTTGTGTCATTTGCATATCGCAAAATAGGATTTTCCATGCCCTTCGGATATCGCACCGTCTTGAATTCGGTAGTTCTCGATCTGCATCTGCAGAAGAAATTTTTTTTTTTTTTAAATTTATACGAAAATATATCCTATCAAGAAGTCTAAAATTATTCTGTGGTATAATTAATGATCGGTTGTCACATTACTGTAAAGGTATCATGACTGAACCATGAGATGTCATATATGTCACTATATTTATACATGACTTGCATGCAATTTGATTTGCTGGTCATATCTGACCTTTAACATAAAAATCAAATTTAGGTCGTATGGAAGTTCTACAACGCAGTAGACAATGGACTGCTTATCATTCCGATGCACCAGAGTTCATCCTCGATTTTATAGTGCTGCTCAATCATAAGTTTTTAAAATAAAATTGAGAATGGAAATTGGGAATGTGTCAAAGAGACAACAACCCGACCAAAGAGCAGAAAACAGCCGAAGGTGATCGCAGGTGCTCCAGACGGTTAGGCATGTTTTTGACCTCGCAATTTCCAGAATTGTTCATCTGAAGTATACTGTAACAGTTGTTCAGTGTCACGGGGGAGGAGGGGTCTCTTCCTAAAAAAAAGGTATACACAGACGTGCTGCTGGTATGGGCCACTTTTTTGGAATGTCAAATATATCAATGGGATGCAATTTCACGGAGGTAATATATCAATGGGTAGAAATTTATATGACAATTGGTCATACATGTTCAACTTCTGCTAATGTGTCTGTAAAAACTGTTTTCATATCTCATAATATGAATCACGGATCATATCTGGGACTATTATACTAACTAGTATAATAGTTCCCGAACCTATGTGGTTAACATCTCATTGAAATAAGATGTCATGATAGCTGGGAAATATATATAAATGGATTGTGATTTTGTTATGAAATATATGAAGGGTAGAGGTTTTCGCATAAATCTATATATGAATGGGGGGTGTTTTTCAAACCCCAGCCGGACGTCTGTACCCAAATTTGTAAGTTGAGATCCCCACGTGTTCAGTTTCATATATATTGGATTGATTAATGCCGTAAAAACACATGTATCAATAAAAACAGATTGTCAAATTATTGTTTCAGTGTACCAACTTGATGCATGTATATTTAATTACGTAAATTGTTATCATATTGCTGGTCAATACTTTGACATTTCATAGTTTACTATTCTGAATGTCATCACATGTTTTCATGGAAATTCTAATTATATAACCTCATATTTACTTTTCGCGTTATAGACAAAAATCTTGGAATGACATTTTTTAAGGTCAGAAAAATGAACACCTGCTCATTTGACGACTTTGTGAAAAAAATGCCACTGCATTTTTTCATCATCATGATGGAAACTTATGGAAATCAAACTTATTGGTCAACAACATTGACGTCAGAAAAATTGCACCGAAAATAGATCCTTAGAATTGTGATATAATAACACAAAAAACGGATCTTACCATACAAGGTCCTTTACTATGTTTGTAGATACAAATAAGGCCAATTGTTTGAATATATACTTAAATACTTCTGCTATCATTGACTAGTAAAAAAAGAAGGGGAAATTTCCCCCAGATTCAATTAAAACCGTTTTCAAAAAGACTTCAAATCTTTTCTCCAATAACCCTATCAATGATGTGTATGTAAATTGTAATGTTTGTGGCGTATTTCTGATTATGTGACCACCGAAATCAATGCTTAGAGATGACTCATCTATGAAATCAATCTTTTGGTCCGGGTGAGCTAAAAAGAACATTCTTAACCAAAACTAAAACATTTTCGGAAGTAAAAAAAAACTAATGTTATTAATTCCGTGAGTACAACACTTGCTTCTGAAATAACTTTTATCAGGTACGCTCGAGACTTTAAGTTTGGAAATCCAAAAATATTAATGTGTGTGAGCATAAAAACCAAAAGGGCCTAAACAGAACAACCAACACCGTCTAAAGTCCTGAAGTCCACTATTCCTGAGGCAGTTTCAACATTAGATTCAGCAACATTGCATAATTTGATGAACTGGAAATTTATAAACAAAATATATTTCTTAAATAAGTAAAGGTATGTGCTAATCAATTCAGTTCGGTTGATTATATTCATGATGGCAAAATGATATAGAAACATGAACAAATTACTATGTTGTATCAAAAATGTCTTAAACAGCCATTTAAATATTGAATGACATTTTCATGATTATCTATTTAAGGTTTTTTGGTTAAATGAAAGCGTATATTTTTTTGAATGTCAGTAGGTTAAAACAGCTTTCTGATTTTTATCCTGTGGATGAATTGGTCACACAACTACACTTATAAACAAAATTGTCTGCTCTTTGGTCGGGTTGTTGTCTCTTTGACACATTCCCCATTTCCATTCTCAATTTTATTTACTGTTGTGTATTCTTGGTCATGCATTAACATTACACAATAAAACAATAAAACGTACCTTTTGCCAACGTATATTATTATACAAAGTGAAAACACAAGTCCCATGCCTGCTGCTATTCCTATTGCAAGATACATAACTGTAAATATAAAACAAAACTTATTTTTGTCTATTCTCCAAATCGTTTCATGTCCAATCTACGGTCGCCTATTGAAATTCATTTACATAAAGCCTAGACTCCGGACGATGTAAAGTGGGTTTTATGGTAACTTCTAGATCTCTTTTTTCTCGAGCTTGAAACTGATGATTTTGTGACCTATTGTTCTTATCAAACATTATTTCTATTCATATGAAACATACCAGTAAAGTATTATAACAGTGAATATTCCATAGGTTCAGAGATATAAGCAGATATATCTAAATTATTTTTGCAAAGAATTCCGCTCAAACCGGTGCTAGGGACAGTCTAAAACTTGCAGTGAGGTGAGAGGTTTTTTTTGGTCCGTGTTGAAGGCCTCACTGTGACTTTGAGATGAAGAACAGCAATAAAAGCGCTGTTCCTTTGCTTTTTGTGTCATGGATTGATACCCCATATGCTTTGTTTTTCTATTATAGATGGAAAAAAATTTACTGAAAAAGGAGTAAAATAAACGGAATGATATATACTCCAAGGGAGTTAAAATTAAATGAATTGCATTTACTCAAAAAAGTGTGATGATAAATGGAATTCTGTGTACTTGGAGTAAAAATAAATGGAACTGCAGTAGGAGTGAAAACAAAACAGAATTGCATGTACTCTAACTAAGTGAAATCAGGACCCTCGAGATGGTAAAGCATCTCATGTTTTTATCCGCCTAGTAAGTTTGGAATATAAGACATAGCAAACATCAATAAATTATTCATTATCGCCATCGTAGAAGTTCAGTGAACTAGTTAATGTCTAATATTAAGTCATTTTGTATCATATATCACATCATACACAAAAAAGTCATAGATCACATACCTGACTTATACAAGAATGTTTGATAATCCTCCGTGCTTTCTGAATTATTTGGATCACTCGAGTTTGAGGCGTTTCGGCTTTTTCTAATCAGTATTTCTGCGTCCATATGTGGTGTCCGCGTGCTGGTCATATTTTGTGATATCAGAAATGTTCTTGTTGTCGCTCCGTAACTTTGCATTGTGTCAGAATGTTTGATTTTGTGTGCTTCGCTATCCCTTATGTCTGAAATTTAATGATATGTCCTATTGAAGTTTTATTCTTGTTATTTATTTCAAAAAATGGAAGATTCGCTCGGTTAATAAAGAAATTGATTTAAGTTTATTCTAATTGAAGAATTAAAAAACACTAATTGACAGCTCGTTTGATATCAAAATATTTAAAACCTACCACCATCTGCTTAGTGTAGAAGCACGTGTAACGATAGCGGTATCCATTTTTTATTCGTTTTTCTTCCAAATCCCCATTCCTGATCAATAATTCTTTTTATACATGAATAGTTTTTTATGAAGCTATCGGAGAATCTAATTAAATTACAAAAAAAACAAGGAAAATCAAGAAAAATTTTCTAAATATACAAATTTCGTCATGGTTTGTTGCCATTTTAACTCGTAAATTGTAAAATTTGTTTTTATTTTCTGAATACCTTGTACCTTAGTCTAGTTAGGTCAAATTTAAGAATATGTAGGAAAACTTTTATATTTGCAGAAATAATTGGGCCAAATAAGGGCCTTATTGCCCCTACTCCATCGTAAGTTCTTTCATACAATTTTGCATGTCCTTTATTTTTTGTGCTTTGTAATGATTTCATTTTTTTTTATTGAGGTTCTGTCATTGTGAGAAGTGATGACTGGATTTACTAGTTAAACGGAAACTGTTGTTATTGACTACTGATTTAGCAATATTTATTATCAAGAGTTTTTAACCAAGAGTTCGTTCAAACAATAAACGAAAACACACTTCCGATCTTTGATGAATGTTTCTATGGCATAATTCAAATGATATATTTTGCCGGTACATTTCCAATTCACAACAAAGTTTTGGTCCGCTTGTACCTGATGAAGTTCATTCCAGAGACAGGTGATGTACTCTTATAATACTTTTATCAACCACTGGACCAGGAACTTTTGTGATATAGATATTAGTTTCCGATGATACCACCAACCCATGATCAATAGCCATTGATTCAGTATTAGCGTGATTCAAACGATATATTGTTTCTGTGAATTTTGTACATAAAAGCGTAGTATTGTGCTAAATTAGGATCGCAGCTACGTAAATTCAAAGTTGGCACGATGTGTGCTGTTCTGTTTAGGCTTTCAAATGGGTTAGTTTTTTGTGTTAGTGATGAAAATGTGTTGAAGGTAAATATACACGTTGTGTTCGCCTACAAATTATATCATATGTTTTAATATAGAATATATTTCTACAAATACATAATGATATGCTTACCGTACTGACAAATAAAAGGTCTTTTCTCCAAACAGGAAGAAGGCACAAGACCAAGTGAACCATCTACATTAGACAAAGCTACACACTTATCAATGACAGCAAATGTTTGTCGATGGCGGAACAGACTGGCAGATATCGGTAATCCTACAAGAAAAGTGTATTAGATTCGTTCTGATTCCTTAATAACCGTTTAAGCATCATTATGTTTGATATTTGAATTTTGGTTAACTTATGAAAACTTGATTCGTAATTGAGTAGTATTGCACATACTATAAGTAAATATGCACGTATTTTGTACACTTGAAATGTATTGACTGCTTAGTCTTTTGGATATTGCATTAAGAGGTACAATAGTTATGGTGGCATTTTAAAGGAAGACTGAAGATACATAAAGTCAATTTAGAAACATATAGATATATAAGACAATGATCAAAGAAACTGGAAGCTGTTACCATTAATGTCAACTGGACTATGGTGGAGAGTTATCTCATTGACAGTTATACCACATCTCTGTATTTTTATATGGAAACATATACATGACCGTCTAAGTACGGATCGACTAGATCATCATAGTAACCGTACTTTCGAAAGGATTTTTTTTTATTATTTTTTATGCTTTTTTCTGTAACTATGAATACTACTTCGAAACTTGATTATTTGTCCTTTCTAATATAAATGTCATGAAATTTGTCTATTTAAAAGTATGTGAAGATTATATTCCAACTTTGTTCAGTTGAAGGGAACATAATTATATTTTATTTCAATATTTGCACGGTTGACAATTTCAGTATGCACAATTCTTAATTTACATAACAGTGAAAGATTCTTTGAATATCGCATAGTCTCAATTTAATTTGATATTACCATTGGTCCATTCCCATCGACGAGAACGCTTTAATCCAACCCAATATTCTCCTGGTGGAAGCAGACTTGTATCCTCATTGTCATACATCATAGTGACGTCAACTATGGCAGTTGTACCATTAAGCAGACGACAACCTTCCATTGACGCTTGCCACGTGTCAGGTTGAATGGACGATCTTAGACAGTACTTCTTCACACCACACGCTTCGTGGTCTTCTATTAAAACATTGAACATTATTGAATTAACTATATGGCTAACATGGCTAATACATCATCTTACTGTTGTGTAACGTAGTTGATTGCAAGTATGATTTCATTTCTTCTTACGTCTAAAACAATGGTAAATTTATAATCATTATTGGTAACTAGATATAAGAAGATGTGGTATGAGTGCCAATGAGACAACTCTCCATCCAAGTCAAAATTGATAAAAGTAAACCATTATAGGTCAAAGTACGGTCTTCGACACGGAGCCTTGGCTCACACCGAACAGCAAACTATAAAGGGCCCCAAAAGTTACTAGTGTAAAACCATTCAAACGGGAAACCAACGGTCTAATCTATATAAAAAAACGAGAAACGAGAAACACTTATGAACCACATCAACAAACGACAACTACTGATCATCAGATTGCTGACTTAGGACAGGTGCAAACAATTGCAGCGGGTTTAAACGTTTTAATGGTACCAAACCTTCACCCTTATCTGAAACAATAGTGTAACATCACAACATAGAAAGACTGTTCGTTATACATGTAGTTTGATGCGTCCTGAAATAACTGCATTTATCGTAATCTTTTATGATGATATATTTGACCTATCAATAAAGAAATGTTTGTCGTCACGGATACACCTAAACAAATACACTTACCAAAATAACAGATATATCTCAGTCTCATATTACAGGATGAAGTAAACCATAGTAAAGTATTCTGGTCGTGCTGCTTCCGAATGTAAACACATTCGTAGTTATCATTTGGCTCGTTCGATCCCCATAACACAGCCTTGTTATCTGTAAAATCGAACGGAAACATATTGTAGCAATGCAAATAAGGATAATATGATAAGTTCTCACCAAATTGTATGTCTGCTATCATCATACTTGGGTTACAGAACGAAATTTTTATTTAAAGCTGAACTCTGGATTAAATATAAAATCAGAGGTTCTCAAAGCGACAAAAATCTCTACACAATGCTCAGTTCAAATGGAATCTCCTTACGTTCCGTTTAAAACATATGTGTGCTCAAATCCAAATGAACTATCAATGCTTAAATACGCTAGGAAGATTGTATTAATATATTGTACAGTGCTGTTCAAATTTTAGAGCATTACTAGCATTGAACTTTTGAATATTTTATATAAATTCGACTTGATGAGGTTAACTTCAGCATTACTTTGTAAGTGCAGAAATTTATATAAAATTGCATGCTCTATCAAACGCAAAGGAGCCGATCAACAAGAGCAGGTAAGGTATTAAATGGAATCCAGATCTAAACACTCTAGCTTCAATAAACATTGTATTACATCTGTTTGATATTGCCATTATTGGGCTATAATACTTACTGAGATTGTACATGGATACCCCTTTCGGTCCTCCACATAATTCGGATGGATTCCCATCACAAGTTACATCACAATGGTCATCCGCTGTACGCCTAACATTTCGTAAGTTTTCTTCACATAAACAGTAAAAACTCTGTCGAGATTAAATTCAAAAGTTTATATACTATAAAAAAAAACTAAAATACATCATCAAAATAACCTATATCGATCAAAAGGATAAGAATAACACTAAACTTATTTGATATAGAAACAGTCATATTTTTGTTACAAATGAAATATTGAATTGCAAAATATTTTAGCTATACCGGATATCATAATAATCGAAAATAAGTACTCGATGTTAAAGATATGTTGTTTAAAGGGAATAATAATGGTGAATGTGGATAATAACTCTAAATTGTTATAAGTGTTCCTATAAAGATCGTTGGGAGATATTTTCCAAGAAGTAGCTAATGGAGATAATGTTTTGATATTGTACTGTTCAGGGGACTTCGAAAATTTGGTTAAATCTCTCAACTTAGGAAGTTGACAAAGGTCAACTACACTTCATAAAAAAAGAAGTGACACTTAATCTGATTTTTGTTTAGCTGTTTATGAGAGGATATAGATTAAAAAATCAAGATAACGAGCTGATCTGATGAACTCATCATCGGGATAAACCAATATGTGTTCTATCAACATGCTGAACACTTAGGTAAAACTGCAACTGAATATCTAAAGTCTCGTATTGACAGGTTGCAATAATGATTTGTAATTTGAAAGGCACTATAAATGGTGATGACATTCGTTATATAATCTGCTTTAGGAAGCATTTGACTGCTAATTTTGAACGGTGATCTCTACTGATTTGGACAAACTCGAAAAACTGTCATTTTCGAGACGATTATTTAGTTATTTGCTGAAAAAGACGGAAATCATCTTTGGAGAAAACTGCTGCTAATTTGGTTAATTTCACCTTTGGAAAATAAATCTGTAAAATTATCCAGATGTGTACACAAAGCGAGTAGTTTAAAACAATCCAAGAAGGATATTCAAAAATCATTAGTCGAAGAAAACTGACAATCTCATGGCAAAGTTGGCGACGAAAAGACAAGGAACAGTCTACAAAACATTACACAGAAAACTAAAGACTAGGAAACCCCACTTAATACCGGATCCCATGTGTCCTAGGTGGGTAAGCAGATCCTAGGCCATTAGTTGCATCCGTCAGTTATTAAGTTTTACCGAATAATCATCGATCGGGATATATCCGTGGTCATCTGTAACAAATATTCCATAACGGTCAACCCGGGGCTAATCATGCAGGCGTTAGTAAAACTTTCAAAGGGATAAATTGTTCAACATTAGGGACTATTGCTAATAGCTTCTTAGCAAGCAGCAGAACCATGATAGAAAACACAAGCGCTCGTATCAACTTGGAGATGTAAAATTTATATACAGAAGCTGCTGGAATGTTGCTACATAGAATTGAATTTTGCACAATTGAAAAGCTGAAATCATCTCTTTTGTCGAGAAGTTTGCCTCTCTGTCGACCCTTATTGTCAAATTCTATGTGAAAGTTGAGATATGATGCAGATTTAATCGTTGATATAGATGCGCTCAACATAATAACCAAACTTGTAATTATGTATATCTTTAATGTATATTCAAACATTCTATTTTAAAACTATACGAGGAGTTGAATACAAAGAAAAAGGATACCCTCTTTTTCCTGCTTGGCTGGCCGACAATTACCATTACAACCAGATCAAAATTTATATATTTACATTTTCTATTACAAGATAAGGTTTTGTATTATGTTGATATATGTAATGCAGGGAAATTATTGTTATGTAGTTCACTATATCAACGTTAGTTAAAAAATCGCATTTATATGTATTTTTTCCATAGTCAGATGCAGTTTCACATGGCTGGTTGTATATGTTAACAATAACCAAATGAATCGCCTATTACGTTCTTGAAACATTTACTTTAGAACATAATGTCTAGGTTTTCTTTCGAAATTTGATTATAGGAAAGCTCAAAAGAATAGTTTTCATTTGTAATCGAAAATAAACTGCGTATAGAAGACTGCGTATAGAAGAGACCTTCCCTTTCTTCTCGTCTATATTTTATTTTTCATTTTTCATTCTGTACATGCAATTCACTGAGAAGTTTAGTTAAGAGACAATGCTAGAAATTTCGAAAATATTGTGCGACACTGGTCGGAAGTTAGAGTTATGTACATATGCTTTTGATTTAAAAAAAAAAAAAACTTTCACGAAATAACTCCTTCTTAAACTACTCCACCTAGCGATTCTTGAAGATGTTATCAGCAATTACAACAAAGGAAATAAATCTAAAAAATAAGACCTATGCGTCACTAACACTAAAATAGAATAAGCACAACATAAAGAAAGGCATAGGCGTTATTTCATATGTACGCATCATTACATGTACCTCTTTTGAAAATAATTGAACACAAAAATAGAAATTGAATTGATAAAATGAGGTGTCCAATTTAAAAAAAAAAAGCGGTATCTGATATTTGTGATATGTTTACTTAATACATGTAATAAGCTTAGGAAGGAAAGTAAGTTCAATGTGAAATATTTAGCCAAGGAAAACAGTAAAGGATGTGAGTAGAAAAGTTCAGTGTTTCGTCCACTTTAAAGTTGACTTAAACTCACTTTAAGTCCAATTACACCTTTCCACTTGCATTGCTTGAAACATTCTTCGGCTGACAAATCCTGAATAGAATGACCTCCCAATATAAATGACGGTCTGTAACATCTCCTATGATATATCAGCGGTTCTAAAGGAATTTCTGCGTCTATATAAAGGTTAATTGTAAAATAACATAATTGTGACAAAGTTTGCATATATTATTATCAAATAGTTGTGTAAAGCATACCCCTACTAGTTGTTTGACATCGACACATTCCATGTTCAGTGGGTATAAAAATAAAAGTATATTCAAACAGTACGGGAATGCAAAGCAGATCTGGGAATCTCTTACACGACACAACTCATCATAATGTATAATTCTAATTAAATGACTGTTTAACACAGAAGCCGAGAACTATATGATGATAAATGTCATACTCAATATGTATAACTAATATTCAAAGTATCATAAATCAGGATGAGATTGTCCGTAAGATCTAAAACTCTCAATGCACAATGATTATCATAATGTTCCAGAACAAATACATAATTACTCTATAATAAAGAAGCAGAGTAATATGCAACGAAAATTCAGACGGACGGATGGACACGGCGAACGCAGTATACAACACACTAAGTGAGTTGTTTTGAAGGTAAAAACAGACCGGCAAGTACATGTAAACAATAGTTCCGAAAAACACATAATTAAAGAAAAAAAATATTTTAAATATATAATATTTCTCTTAGCGCTTTCAAATATAACATTGTGTTTAAATTCCTTTTATAAACATGATATGTCGTCATTTTGATGTTCTGTATCATTTACGTATATCCATGTCTCCTTCCAAATGCTTATGCTTGAATGGAGACAATGCGGATAAATATTGTAACATGAGAACAAAAAAGCATTACTTCTGCATGCACATGTGAACAATTGAATATTTAGACTTGATATTGTCCACATTGAATACTTAACTGGATGTTGTTCATACCTTTTCCTTTCGTTTTAGTAATCCAATTAAATCCTTGGTCATTCAGTAAACCTCCTACCCAGAACCCATTGTTATTTTTCCAGCTGTCAGGTATAAGATCCATGCTATAGACATGAGCAAGTTTACCATTGTTCAGGTTACAATACTTTTGGCTATCATCCCACGATTTTTCTTCCTTAACCACTTGATAAATACTAGTTGCAAAATCTTAAACAAAATTAGACTGATTGCATTATGTTAACATTTGCATACACACACACAGTGTCAGCCTGCTTTATTTATGTTTTCATGTCTTGAGGATTTTGGCTGATGAAGGTCAACGCAGTTAGATTTTCATCTCTGAAGTCAATTTCATAAATAATGTATATTGCATCAACGTTACGAAATAAATAGGTCCATTTGCAAAACATATGTATCTAGCGAACATCCTAAAGACGCACAATTATCCTGGAAGATATAGTACTGCTTAATTAATATATTAGACTATTATGTCAACTACTCATCGCGTACTGAATCAAGAAGGCTCTACTCTTCGCGTTCTGAAGCAAGAAGGCGCTACTCGTCGCATTTTGTAGCAAGAAAGAGGTGATTGTTGTTATAAAATAAGAAGATGTGGTATGATTGCCATTAAGACAACTCTCCACCAGAGACCAAATGACGTAGAAGTTAACAGCTATAGGACACCGTACAATCTACATCAAAAAGCAAGCCATACCGTTTAGTCAGCTATAAAGGGCCTAGACATGACAAAATGTAACACAATTCAAACAAGAAAACAATCGGCATGAGTTATGTTCAATACAATAAACACAAATATAAAATATTAAAGACAATTGAAAAGGGCTATGCTATGGAAGAGTATTAGCGCCACACAAATTGTCTTTTTACATTACATCCTATATTTTCGTTATAACGCAAATCTTTGCAATGAAACGCAAATATTATGCTTTTCTAAGAGTGTTTATGATGTCTTTACACTAAATACTGCTGGATATTTTAGTCTTGGATACATGATTTTTTTATCAGTTGTTATTGGCCTTGAACTATCTGTCAGTAACTGCCAGTTCTCTCAGATCGTTACTTTGTGTCCTTTGTCTATTTGTTAGTTGTTTATTGTGCATTGTGTCAATCTGATGAATTGATATAAATAAGAAGATGTGGTATGAGGCAACTCTCCATCCAAGTCACAATGTACAAAAAGTTAACAATTATAGGTCAAAGTACGGCCTTCAACACCGAGCCTTGGCTCACACCGAACAGCAAGCTATAAAGGGTCCCAAAATGACTAGTGTAAAAAATTTCAAACAAAAAAAAACAACGGTCTAATCTATATAAAAAAACGAGAAACGAGAAACATCTTTGAACCACACCAACAAGCGACAACCACTGAACAACAGGCTCCTGACTTAGGACAGGTGCTCTTTCAAATGATTTTTACCATTTGTTTTTATGTCGTGCTGTTACACTGCTGTCCCAGGTTAGGGGAATGGTTTGGCATCAGCAAACATTTTTAACCCCACCACATGCTAAATGTACTTGTCCTAAGTCAGGATCCTGTAATTCAGTGGCTGTCGTTTGTTGCTGTTTATCATATTTGTTTTCGTTTATAGATTTGTACATAAATCAGACCGTTGGGGATTTTTCTCTCGGTTGAATTGTTTTACACTCATCTTTGTGTGCGTTTGTTCTGTGTTGAAGGCCGTACGACAACCAATAGTTGCTTACATCAACGCCATTTGGTCTCTTGGGGAGAGTTGTCTTACTGGCAATCATACCACATATTTTTATTTATATACTGTATTTTTTTACATTTGTATAATCACAAAACGGTATTCTTCGAAATTTCACATTTCTTTTTCGAGTCAAGAACATTGTAAGTAAGGCAACACAGAAACCGACAGTTTTGTCCAGCACTTCACAGCAAACTATAAAGATTGAGTAATTAGAGCCACAATGAAAACGAGTGTGAAATCAGTTGCACCGGAAAGGTAAGCTTTTACTGATATAGTTGAGAGAACGATCCCAATCCTGCTTGTTACAGTATTACCACAAGCGCATGGTACGACCGAATCAGGTAATCATTTGATATGTTTTAAGGGAAAATTCACAATTGTCATGAACAAAGTACCATCACTCGAGAACGATAAAAGTGTAAATTATCAAAATTGATCTAGGCATTTTCGTAATTAGTCCTGACGTTGCAGAAAAGTTTGATAAGATTTGTATGGTGGCATGCAACTACCATCGAATTGACCAGTTGCCCAGATAATTATTACGGCAAATTGATATATTACTAGTATTACGATAAGTCGACATGTTATCTCGATATGTCGACTTAATTATCTCAACAAGTCGACATAATGGAAGCATTAAATCGACTTGTCTAGATAGTAAACACAACATGTCGACATACTTATCGCGACAAGTCGACAAAAGCTTTCTAGGCAACTCGTCTTGAGGTCAAGATGAATGCCAGTAACTGCCCTTATCTTGTTGAGTTGTCGAATTAATAATCACAACAAGTCAGGATCGAGATACTGAGATAGTTTAAAAATAGAATTCTTTCGGAACTCTATTAATTCTTTCGGAACTTGACTGTAAACGCGGGAAAGATTTTTGCCCTATCAACTGTAGTATAATTAATTCGACAACTTAACAAGACAAGGGCAGTTACGGACATTCATCGCGACCTCAAGTCGAGTTGTCGAGATAGCTTGTGTCGACTTGTCGCGATAAGTATGTCGACATGTTGTGTTAACTATCTAGACAAGTCGATTTAATGCTTCCATTATGTCGACTTGTTGAGATAATTAAGTCGACATATCGAGATAACATCGTAATAATATATCAATTTGCCGTAATAATTATCTGGGCAACTGGTCAATTCGATGGCAGCTGTATGCCACCATAGATTTGGTTAAAGCAAACTTGAATTATAGTATATGTACTACAAGTTGAAAAATGAAAATATTTTCATGAACAAAGTCTCATAAATCTGGAAAGGCAAAAAATGAAATCACCTAAATCAAATGGGACGTTCCTGCATATAATGGTCCTGACATTGTCAAAAGCTTGATGAGATTTGTTGAAGCCAAACTCGATTTATCCAATATCGTCAGAAATTGTTGACGGACAGATAGAAGGACAGTAGGACAGACGGACGGACGTACTGACGGAAAACCGTTTACCATAATACGTCACTTCTGTCGTATGAATACAAGTACTGTTATTTTGCGTGAGTAGGACACTTTATATCTAACCTACTATGATTGGCTAAAAACTGTCTGAAAAGAATTAATTTTGATAAATGTTCATGAATTATGTTCTCCTATACCAAGTACTTTTTTCAGTTCAGATTCTTGTAGATTAGTCCAAAAGGGGCAAAATCAATACTCACAAATTTTCATCAGAATGTGATCACACAGGACCGCATGCAAAGGACATTTTTTAATCTGTAGTTCTTTTCGATAATCTTTGCCAAAGGGGTTTATTATGGTGGAAATGAGCCATCCAAAGTGTGAAATTCATTTTTTGATTTTGTATTAATATGTGAAATTTGTTAACGTTAAAATCTAAAAATCGTAAAGCTCTGAAAATTGCTGGAAATGTTCTATATGTATGTCCTATGAAGTCTTCCAGATCTAAGAACGATTCGTCAACTTCCAAAGAAGATCAATCGGTTTGAATTTTTACATTAAATGTAGGTGTTGCGTTTCTTTTGGCACTCAGTATATAGTATCAAGAATTCCTACTGAAAGGAACAAGACTGGAAAGACTAGAAGAATCTAGTTTCCCATAGCTATCATCAAGAAACCGTATATTTAGATTGGTTAATAGGAACTTTACATTCTTAATATGATTAAGGTACAAATTTTGTGTGGATCCATATTTTGCTTATAAGAGAGAGAGACGGAATATACCAAAAGGACATTCAAACTCATAGGTCGAAGACAAACGGATAAAGCAATGACAAAAAAAAACGGAAAAAAAGACGTAAAGACAAACAGCAGTCTAGAAAACACAACCTAAAAACGAAAGGTTTAGCAACACGAACTTCACAAAAAAAACTAGCGGTTATCTCAGGTGCTCCATAAGATAGATCCTGCTTTATATGTGGCACCCGTTGTAATGCTCATGTACGAGTACAAATTTGGTGATAATTAAGTCTCATTCGGTGATGTCAAATTCGAGTAAAGGATGACCGGGTTGTGGTTACGACAATGAACATATGCATTGTCATATGTGAAACAGTTACTTCATAAAGGTAAACCAAATCTTAATCTTATTCTTTCAAGTTCAGAACTTCGTCATTGGTTGTTGTATGTCATATTTCACAAAAAGAATATAATTGTTTTTCTTTAAATGTTAAAAAAAACCCAATAGCAATCGTTTTAACATACAATACTAGGTTTCATAACGCTTTTGTCGGCAGCAGTAACCGAAATTAAACATCGAACTTGATTTATCCAGTGTTATAAAATATTTCCAAAACATGTTTCTGGAGCTTTCTTGTAAAAACCCAAAATTACTAAGACTATCTGCTTTGTCGCGAATTCCAATACGTGTATTATCATATTAATCAAAAACGGTGTCTCTGGTATAGTCGCCTAAGAAATTTCACTTAACTTTCAGTCAAAAGTTAAAGCGAAGAGTTCCAATGTATACTATAACTCTTAGTATGTAAATGTCCATGAAAAGCCGGAGGATTCCGTGCTTACATGCGTCATAGTGTTTGGAAAAGAAATTTTGTAGCGATCGACCAACTTCTAATAACGGCCATAAAATTTAAGGTAAAGACTTTAATTTGAGGGTTAGCAGCAGCTTCTCTGTAACTATGCTTTCACCTGTCTAGAAAGTCTTCACAACGATTATAGACTCTTTATAACGTTTTGTACATGTATATGCAAATTATCATCAATAGTATGGTGTATTCATTACTTTAATATACATGTATTCAATTACAAAGGATTACAGTAGAGAAAACATATCAAAAGTGCTGCATAAAGTCAAATATATTCAAATAAAATAGGCAAATACTTACGAAAATTTATAAAGAATAAAATCCAAGCAAACATTCTTAAGTAAGAATGTACGTGAAATAAATTAAATTTCAAATAAATGAATTTCACATTAAAAGGAGAACGGAAATATAACATCAAAAATACTAACTAATTGGAGGATGTTGTACTTATATTAAAGTGGCATTGTTTAACAAAAAGATCAAATGTTACTGCACCTTACTATGCCAGTGTGTGTAATTCTCGGTGTTTAGAATATATTAGAATATGGAAAAGCGAGTGAACGCCAACGAGATAGCATCTATGGAAACAAAAATCAATAAGTATAGAAAGGTCAAAATACGATCTTCAGCAATTGACTAAACGTTTATGGAACATTTCAAGCGCCTAAAAAATAGAAATGGTGTGAAGAAATAAAAAAAGGTCAAAATACGATCTTCAGCAATTGACTAAACGTCAGATGGAACATTTCAAGCGCCTAAAAAATAGAAATGGTGTGAAGAAATAAAAAAAGGTCAAAATACGATCTTCAGCAATTGACTAAACGTTTATGGAACATTTCAAGCGCCTAAAAAATAGAAATGGTGTGAAGAAATAAAAAAAGATCAAAATACGATCTTCAGCAATTGACTAAACGTTTATGGAACATTTCAAGCGCCTAAAAAATAGAAATGGTGTGAAGAAATAAAAAAAGATCAAAATACGATCTTCAGCAATTGACTAAACGTTTATGGAACATTTCAAGCGCCTAAAAAATAGAAATGGTGTGAAGAAATAAAAAAAGATGAGCAATGATATACCATCAGCACCAATTGTATATGACTGAATACAACCATTGACCAAGGTTTCTGACACAGAACAGAAATACACCCATTAAATTGTTTTTAAGCGCTCAATCTATACCCTCTATTATAAAATCGATCAATGGAAAAAATAAATTGTCCTATAGAAGAATGGAAAAGATAAACTGTCATGGCCTATAGAAAAATATACAGTTAACGACAAATAGAAAGGTGAATGTCAAATAATAATGTATTTTACTTTATCAAAAGTCTTGCAGTTACTGACAATCCTAATCTTGTAAGTTTGATCATAAATGAAATGAAAATTAACAGTGAAAAAGCTGTATATTTGTACGAACATGTAGTTAACATTTTGACCAATTATGAAATCTATAGTTATAGAAAAGTTATTTTTTATTAATAAAATGTTGTATTAATTGAAATCAGAAAATATTGTGTTCATAACAATAAAAAATAAATAGTGTGTTCATTGATTCAGAAACGGCCCTAGATACACGCGCATATTGAGCCAACTAAGAACTCTACATTTCACAAGAAAGAGCCAACGGAACATAACTTATCAAGGAAAGGAAAGTTAACAATAGGAATGGAAATCTCATGTTAGTTTCGTGTGTTGGTATGAAGGATACCGTAATGATATCGGTCCACAGAAGAACAATATCTCTTTGAAAAGTTTGGTGTAGTGAGAGTATGTTTGTATTTGCATAATTAGGGAAATCTGGGTTGTATACTGAGAATGTGTCGTATAAATATCTGTTGGCTTCTTTAATACGTCAATCGCGTACTGTTTTCATTTTGGTCCTTATGAAATTAAGTGGAAAAACAATTATTAATAACAGTAAAGGAACACATCTGTGATAACAGTGGCACTTTTAGTTGAAAGTGTTTGTTATTTCATTTCTTGTATTTATTTTCTTTTCTTGACTCGGGTGATTTTGAACTTGACACATTGTATAGACTGCTGTTTGAAGACCGTATATTACCTTCTATGGGGTTGTGTCATGTTTCAGCATGGTGTATACTTCACATATCCTTTATTCACATATCTTATTTGAGCAAAACGAGATAGAAAAAAGTACAAAATAACACCAATTTTATAACGACGTTTCATTTGTCAACCGGCTTCTATAATAGTTTACAACGATCGATATGGAATTAGCCGGTATTTTTTTTACTGTCTGTAACTATTTTAGTGTCAAAGCATTTGAAATGTTAAGTTTACATGAATACTGTCTGGGATCCCTTCGTAAATTTTACAGACGCCATCACAAGTTAGTTGACCGTTATGGAATAACCGTTTCACAGATGATAGCGGATATGTTCCAAATGTCTTAACTACAATCCCGTCCCCTTTTCCCCGAATGTTAACTACCGAATGTGTCCTACCGAATTTGTACTAACATGAGCAACACGACGGATGCCACATGCGGAGCAGGATCTGCTTACTCTTCTGGCGCACATGAGATCACCCCAGTGTTTGGCGGGACTCGTGTTGCTCAGTCTTTAGTTCTCTATGTTGTGTTTTGTGTACTATTGTTTGTCTGTTTGTCTGTTGGTCTTTTTCTTTTTTAGCCATGGCGTTGTCTGTTTATTTTCGACTTATGAGTTTGAATGTCCCTTTGGTATCTTTCGCCTCTCTTTAACTTGCACAAAAACTAGAAGAACTAAAAATAATAAAAATGACACGTTAACTTTTAAGAAACTTAGTTTTAATCTTTAAAAGAGTGGCGGAAGATACCATGCAAATGGAATAAAAATTCATACGTCGAAAAACAAGCTGAAAACGCCATGGCAATAAAAAAACGAAAATCGACCAAAAGACAAACAACGGTATACAAAACACATAATAGAAAATTAAAGACTGAGCAACATGAACCTCACCAAAAACTGGATGATCCCAGGTGCTCCGGAAGGGCAATTGATTCAATGTGATAAAATAATTGTAAATTGCATGAGTAAAGGATATATTTCAGTGCCAAAGCATTGTATTATCAGATTGAAAAGACATACTGTTGAGAACTTCTTTGCACAAAAACTATCAGTAGAAAAATTAAAAAGACACGTTAACAATTAAGAAACTTGGTTTTATTCTATCGGTGAATTGATGAGATGAAAAATTCGTCCATGAATATGTGGTATGATTGCCAATGAGACAACTATCCAAAAGACAAAGATGAGAACAATTACAGTTCATCGACCTTCAAACATGAGATAAACCCATACCATGATATAGAAAGTTGTAAAAGATCCGATATGAAAAATGTGAAACAATTCAAAAGAGAAAAACAACGGCCTGATTAACAATACAACAATGATCTAAATAGAATAAGAGATTCAGCAAAAAACTGGATTACCGGTGCCCGACTTTGAACAGGCACACAAAGAATGCATGTGGCGGGTTTTTATCATGTTTGCGAGTGTTCAATCCTTATCCTACCCTTGGACAGTAGTGTGAAAATAGTTCAGACTATAAAAATCAGTTGGAAAGTGCTTTGCTTATCAGATCGGAACTGAGGAAAAAAACACTAAAAACACTCCTAAGAGTACTAGCCTTTGCTAAAAGCTAGTTTAAAGCCCAATTTCAACTTATAGATAAATATGAAAAAAAAAGATGTGCTACGATTGACAATGAGACAACTCTCCACCAGAGATCAAATGACGTAAACATTAACAATGATAGGTCACAGTACGGCCTTCAATAATGAGCAAAATCATTAATGCATAGTAAGCTTTAAAGTACTAGAACTCCGAATTGACAAATGTAAAACAATTCAAACGAGAAAACTAACGGCCTGGAAGACACAAAGTACAGGTCTAAGAGTACTTGCAGCTACTGAAAGCTAGTTCAAAGCTATCAACTAATACAAAAAGCATGTATCTAAGACTAAAATATCAATCAGCACACATCTAATATCTAATGAATTTAGATGTAAAGACGTCATCAACAGTCAGAGAAAAATATGACCTGGTGCAATGCCAAAATATAGATATCGACAGATTTCATGACCGTGAATTTGCAGATGTGTATGATAGTAATATTTAGTTTGGTTTTAATTTACTGATAACAAAGTCAATATTCATAAAAATAAAAACAATATTCAAAGATCTAATTACGGCGTTAGATTTGTAACCTTGTAGAATAAGTGTATTTGAAGGATCGATAAGTTTACTCGGATCGCATCTAAGTTTACGGGCTCGGTAAACAACATCACCGCGAAAATGAGGATGTGTCAACCCGTTCGCAATAAGTTTTCTACAGGCACATTTCCAAACCAAATCTTTGTATCTATGGACGAATTTAGTAAAGGTTTTAAGTAATTTGTGGTAACAAAATCCATGACCTAATAATTTACCAGTTATACATAGATTACGTTCATTGAAATCCAAAAGGTCACTACAGATACGGGCATAGCAAACGAGTTGTGTTATATAAACACCGTAAGATAGTGGCAAAGGAACATCACCGTCCAAAAAAGGAAAATTTACAATAGGGAACGAAAAATCGTCCCTCTTGTCGTAAATTTTTGTGTAGAGTTTCCCGTGTAAAAAAGTGAAATATCTAAATCTGGGAAAGTACAGTTATTGCTGTTTATATTGGATTTTTTCGTAATAAGTTCCTTTGGGCAGTATATTTAGAGAATTCCTGATCATTTAACGAAAAATATCATCAAGATAACGGTAAGTGTTATTGAATTTATAGATTAAATGGAATTTAGATGGATCTTTACTGAGTTTGGCCATAAACTGTGATTCATAACAATACAAGAACGAGTCTGCTATTAAAGGTGCCCATAGGAATACCTACAACCTAGGTAAACTTTATAGCCGAAACGCACATTAATGTTGTCAAGCGAAAATTTACAGCTTTGTTTAACGTTGGTTTCCCTAACTTAAGGAAAATGTTAAGACTGGTTAGGAAATTAGACAGATCTAAGAGTTCTCGCCTTTGCTGAAAACAAGTTCAAAGCCTATTTTTGTTAATGTTGTCTCAAAGCAACAGTACCATAAATGACTGTCAGACAGGTTTGTCATTTTACAATGTTCTAAGCCAATGAAATAAGCAATCAAAAAGTGGACAGATTTGTCAGTACATGATAGCAAAATGCGTATTGTTAGTAAACATACAAATCGTGATGGCAACGCTGATAAATTAATACAAATAAACATGAAAACCATTGATACCAAATAATCCCTTGGGAATTATCCGTTCATTATGGGAATAAATAATATTTTATGTATATTCCCGGCAAATAAAGATAATTACCAAATTCGTATAAGTTATGTAAACATGTATATGCAGATTGTAATAACCCGGTCTAAATAACTTTGACCCGGACATATCATCGACGTCATAATAAATGAACCGAGGTAATAAAAACACTTGTTTTTATCATACAAAATACATAAATACTATCCGCATACCCAACTATATCAGTCCTATTCAGGACCGATAACTCTGTCGATAAATATTGTCGGGTATACAATGTTGTTGAAATCAGAGCAAATGTATTATATGTCTCTGTTGAAATGTATACAATAACAATTTTTTTACACAAGTTAAACTTTCAATATCGATTCATTGAATGCCTGGATTTTTGCTTAAAATATTGAATTAAAAAAATAAATAATAAAATCATATGCAATGAAATCTCGTTTAATTTTCTATGAAATAAAAAAAAATCCATTTAAATTAAAATTTGAATCAGAATATTTCTTTAAAATAATTATGGAAACATAAATATTTTATTATCATTTTAAGCAAAAATTATTTTCTACAGAAATTTTCATAATATTCATATTTTCTTATAGTTTATTATGATACATACTTCTGATGATTTGACACGGGGAAGAGAAGATATTTATTTGTACATTTATGAAAACTTTTGTATATCACAAAATTTAAACTCTGGTAATACATGTATACACAGGATGTTAATGTCACCTGGTTGCTTTTGGTTTGCACGTCTACCTGACAATATATTGTTATATTATTAATTCGTATATTTTAACTAATTTGATTCGTTCAGGGATAGTCACATGTTAAACTATATTTTCGAAGGTAGAGAGAAAACGGCGGATAGCAAAAAGCATATTGCACAGCAAAAAGCATATTGCACGGTTATTTTTAGAATATCTAAAAAACCGATATACTTTGTGACGTCATGTAATGAATTTCATGAAATTGTTAAAAGTTTTATAAAAAAACATCTATGATCGATTATTTGAAGAAAAAAAATCTTCAAATACATAACATGTAAAAAAAACATCAAAAAAGTAAATGAAATAACAACTAATCTGTTGTTATTGTCTAGGAGACAATATCATATCTATAAAATTACAACAAAATCAAATGACGATTTTGATACAAATATGGTCGGAAATTAATAATATAACAATTATAGCCTATTTATGAGGTCAATACAGGATATATCAACCCAAAGAAGTATATCGACCTCGGACTTCGTCCTCAGTCAATATACTTCTTTCAGGTCAATATATCCTTGTATCGACCTCCTACAAAGGCTATAATTGTATAATGTAACATTATAACCCAAGTCAGAGTTCACCTGTTCGTCAAGGGACATGAGATTTTAAAGGTATAGAATATTTATCTATAATAATTGTTGGGCGTTGGTTTTTTTTTCTCTTGGGACGAAAACATTTTTTGTTCTAAAAGGAATGTATAAATATATTTCTAAAGAAAGATAAATTATACAGAAAACAGGAAAAACACCTTAAAAAAAAAGAGGCGAAAAAATTTATTATAAATTTTATTGTTAACTATTTTCTGGGAACAGTATATCAGAGACATATAATACAATATAATATTGTATTATATGTCTCTGAGTATATTCTGGATATCTGTCAAAATAAATGTTCCCGTGTCACACTTAAAATATTTTTTTTATCAAGAAATTTTGAAATCAATCATATCGAAATATCACCAAAGAAAATAACAGAAACATCAGAGATTCTGCATGAAAAATTTAATTTAATCAAGGAAAGTTTTACTATACAAATCCTAGATTTGATGCAACATTTCCATCATCCGCCATTTTGAAAAATCCCGAAAAATCCCTTTTTTTAAATCGATGAAAGACCAAATTTGCTTTAAAATTAAACTGTTTTAAGTAGAATATTTCGCAAGATATATGTTTTTATATTCTGAATCGATTTGCAAAGTGTTGCTTTTATTTGCCGAATTTGTGAATTTGAAGTACAAGTAGACATGGGGTCACTAGATTTTAACATTAAGTCAACGGAGAAATAACGAGAAAAAGTACGATTTTTACGAATCTCCAGAGACCTAATTTAATCAAAAATTAAACTGTCAGAACCAACATTATAAGATAGAATTATGTTCGAATACCAAGGATTGATTTGCAAAAGTTAAAAAACGGGTCAAGTTTATGAGAAAATTGAACTTTATTGAAGCACCTATGCAATTTAATGGGACAAATTAATTCAAAATGGCCTCTCATCATACGTCACTAAAGTCACGTGATGTCTTACTTAGTTGGATATGATTAATCGATTATCAGATTTTCATCATATTTATATTGTAAAATATTAGCTACTCAACACAATAAAATTATGAAGCCTTTTTGAACTCGTTCGCTGCGCTCATTCGACAAAAATCTTCATATTGTGACTCGCATTTGATATTTTACAATATCAATATGCAGACAAACTGATAATCGGTACTTATCGGTGTTCCCACTGTCTGTATCACTCTGCTCAGTCCTTCATAAAATTGCATATCACGGCTTAGTCACGCCAAACACGTTAACCCAGCGTAGATAACTTTGACCCGGACATATCAACGACGTCATCTGTAATGAATGAACTGACGTTGATAAGTTTGACCCGAACTTATCAAGTCATCTTCCGGTTTGCTGACGAAACAAAGAAAACATACAAAATACACATATACAATCGGATAAATCAATTATCAGGTTGTCTGCATAATGATATTGTAAAATATAAGCTGCTCGACACAATATGAAACCAAATATCAGCCCGCTTGATATTCTTGCTGATAAAGTCAGTATCAAAAACAAAAATTCGATTATTCTATATTTATTGTTAATTTGTACATTTTCCCTTTCATCTTGCTGCCTAATATTGTTTGAATCGAGGACAAGGCCTGATACTCGAAAATATTAGGCATTGAGGTCATGTAGAAGTGTAGCAACATCATGTGTTCATGTCTTCCACCTCAATTTTTCAATGAATCGCACGCGACTTCATTCATACAACAAAACAACTATATCCGACGTTTTGTACGGGTAAAATTAGTTTTACTAACTATTTCGTATTACTTCATATTCTCAACAAAAAAAAAAACAACAAAAAAAACTGTCAATTAAGACAATTAAAGATAAAAAGAATACTGGCATTTTATTTTATGAGACTAAGTTCATCATCTCCAATATCAGATCGCCCTAGTGGGCTCGCCCTAGTGGGCTCGCCCTTGCTGATAAATTCCGTATCAAAAACATAAATGTTAAAGCCTTAAAATGTTAATTCAAATAGTATCAATTTTCTATTCATAACTATCCAACATTGCTTTCAATTGACTGTGTAAGAATCTACACACAATTACACATTTTCAATAAAAAAGTTTTAACATCATCATTATCTTATTCTATTCACAGTCAATTATTTCAAATCAAAAGCAAATAAAAATTCAGCAACAATTTTTTGGCGACCAGTCAGCGGTCTCGGGTTCACGTGTTGCTTTTCTTTTTTTTAAAGAACGCAACTTCTTTTCCTATGCATTGTTGTGACTTTGTCATGAGATGACCAATGATTTATATATGTATTGAAAGCACGTGCTGTTACTAGTGAATGTTGAATTTAACATGCAAATCCTTGATTTTACGGAGAAATACAATTTCAATTTTGAAGATATATTGGAATGCCTCGTGATTACTTTCAGCAGAGACATATAATATATATATATATATATATTTATTCAAGATAAAAGGCATGAATTTGACAAATACAATATATTACAGAGACACAGATATAGCACTAGACATAGTTTATAGACACTAAAATGATTTACAAGTTTACTAAAAAATATAAATTAAAAAATAAAATTATGAAAATTGTCATGATATTTTGATAAAATGAATAGACTAGATTAATGTAAATATTGAATGAAATTCAAATTGACTAGATTTTCACTGTAGCCTATTACCTGGCTTAGGATGACCTACAAAAGTTATTAAAACTTATTCAGTCCAGTGGGGTCCTTTACATGTCTCTGCTTTCAGTCAATCAAAAGTACGGATATTTATGAAACATACATGTAATGTAATTTTTCAAATATAACAATTGCTTTCAGCTGGGACTACCAGAGGCGGATTTAGAGGGTTTTTCAGGGGGCCCGCCCCCCCCCCCTTTTTTGGGAAAAATTTGGTTGATTATATAGGGAATCACTGAAGCATGACTGGAGCGGGCCCCCTCTTAGGCAGTCAGTGGGCCCCCACTTATGAAAAATTCTGGATCCGCCACTGACTATAATATTATTACTATTATAGTATAATTTAGTCCCAGCTTTTAGTAACTACGACTGATCAAGCTGCAATGTTGAAAATGGCGATTGAATCGCAATCTTTTTGCTGGAAGTGTGAGTTTGCGCAAAACTTCTGTCGAAAAACTGTTTCCGGTTTTGACAAAACTGGTAGCTATGATTTTCCAGCAACGAATATTTTAAGAAAAATTGCTAATTGAAGAAAAGAACCTACATAAATTTTGCTTCTGGTAAGTCGGAAGGTAGTTCAAGTCTGCCTACTAATTTGACTAGTGCAGAACATTGTGTATTTGGTAAAACGATTACTTTTAACCGGCGAAGTAGTTCTATTAATGACTCAGATCTATGCATATTATATTAATATTAAAAGTCAATAAATGAACTTTTGATTTGAATCAGCGTAAATGATGTCATTGGTCAATTGACTCTTACTGTGACGTAATAAAATAGACATTGTGATAATGTACAGGAAAATGCACCAATGCGATAGTCCTATTGATATTGAAACAAATGCATGTATATATTTCTATTTTATATGGAAATAAGTTAACTCATATCACTGTCAAATTGTTATAAAATTTGCAATCCAGTACCATTGTCACCTAGTACCAATGCAAGCTAGGACCGTGTTCAACTAGTACCATGTCATAAAAATATCCACAATAATTTGCACCTCTGGCTCTGCACAGACTTTGAAAAGGGGGAAGGATTTGCATACCAGTGTTTAAGCTAAGGTTAGAAAGGCATTAGACTGAATAATTTGTCTCTTGTGTGTATATATATGTCATTTAATAATTATTTTTTATCGTTTGGACTTCTATTTTTTTTTAAATATGCATACATGTGAACCTCCCGACGGGAGTACAATAATCCTGTTTTCAGGGGTCTCCTCCCGGTGACCTCCCGTTGAAGAGAAAAAAATCCTGTGTATAAAATTTTTCATGAATGAAAAATTTCAGCCCAACATATCTGGTGTGGTGTAACTGACATTACCTGAAGTGAATCCATGACAAAATGCTCCACTGGCAAATCGCCCCACACCTAATCACCCCACTTTTTCACCAACTCGGAAAAATTGCCCCACTTTTGTTTACCAACTCGCCCCAGTTATGAAAAAGGGTAAAATCGGATTGAAAATAGGTTGGATAACTTGCTCCATTTATGAAAAGGGTAAACATCCCTCTGAAATGAGGTCTGTCAACTCACCCCACTTGTGAAAAATAGATAAATCCTGATGAATTTAGTAATGCCAAATCAACCAACTTGATGCAAAAGATGTAATCCCGTTGTATATCTATGTTCCTGTCCCACTCATAAATAAAATCAATACCTATGAAAACCTTAGATAAACATGCTTTTCTCTGTTTGAATGGTTTTACACTAGTCATTTTTGGGCTATATATAGCTTACTGCTCGGTGTGAGCCAAGGCTCCGTGTTGAAGACCGTACTTTGACCTAGAATGGTTTTTCTTTTACAAATTGTGACTTGGATGGAGAGTTGTCTCATTGGCACTCATACCTCATCTTCTTATATCTATTTTGTAATTCTATTCTTTTTGTTAAAATAAAGCAGAAAGAAGTGAGTATCAGTATTTGTGTGACGTGAATGCCACTTGTGAAAAATAGAGAAATCCTGATGAATTGAGTCTTGCCAACTCGCCCCACTTATGAAAAATAGAAAAGTCCTGATGAATTGAGTCATGCCACCTCATAGTCAATAAAAATAATTTAATAAATTTTCGTTTTAAAGTGGGGCGAGTTGGCAGATCTGATAATTACATATTCATCTAGATTTTACCTTTTTAGCTCACCTGGCCCGAAGGGCCATGTGAGCTTTTCTCATCACTTGGCATCCGTCGTCAACTTTTACAAAAATCTTCTCCTTTGAAACTACTTGGCCAAATTAAACCAAACTTGGCCACAATTATCATTGGGGTATCTAGTTTAAAAATGTGTCCGGTGACCCGGCCAACCAACCAAGATGGCCACCATGGCTAAAAATAGAACATAGGGGTAAAATGTAGATTTTGGCTTGTATCTCTGAAACCAAAGCATTTAGAGCAAATCTAAAAAAATTGTTTATCAGGTCAATTTCTATCTGCCCTGAAATTTTCAGATGAATCAGACGACTTTTTGTTGGGTTGCTGCCCCTGAATTGGTAATGTTAAGGAAAATTTGCCGTTTTTTGTTATTATCTTCAATATTATTATAGATAGAGATAAACTGTAAACAGCAATAATGTTCAGCAAAGTGAGATCTACAAATAAGTCAACTTGACCAAATTGGTCAGTTGACCCCTTATGGAGTTATTGCACTTTATAGTCAATTTTTAACCATTTTTTTCATAAATTTTTGTAATATTTTACAAAAATCTTCTCCTCTGAAACTACTAAGACAAATTTAACCAAATTGTCCACAATCATCATTAGGGTATCTAGTTTAAAAAATGTGTCCGATGACCCCGCCCGCGAACCAAGATGGACGACATGGCTAAAAAATAGTACATAGGGTAAAATGCAGTTTTTGGCTCATACCTCTGAAACCAAAGCATTTAGAGCAAATCTGACGAGGATAACATTGTTCATTAGGTCAAGATCTATCTGCCCTGAAATTTTCAGACCAATCAGGCAACACGTTGTTGGGTTGCTGCCCCTGAATTGGTAATTTTAAGAAAATTTTGCAGCTTTTGGTTATTATCTTGAATATTATTATAGATAGAGATAAACTGTAAACAGCAATAATGTACAGCAAAGTAGGATCTACAAATAAGTCAACATGACCAAAATTGTCAATTGACCCCTTAAGGAGTTATTGCCCTTTATAGTCAATTTTTTACAATTTTCATAAATTTTGTAAATTTTTGTAATATTTTACAAAATATTTTCCACTGTAACTACTGGGCCAAGTTCATTATAGATAGGGATAATTGTAAGCAGCAAGAATGTTCAGTAAAGTAAGATCTACAAACACATCACCATCACCAAAACACAATTTTGTCATGAATCCATCTGTGTCCTTTGTTTAATATGCACATAGACCAAAATGAGTGACACAGGCTCTTTAGTGCCTCTAGTTTCATTAAGTGGGGCGAGTTGGCAGGAGAAAAATTAACAGGATTTAACCCTTTTCACAAGTGGGGCGAGTTGGTAAACCAGTTTGGGGCGATTTCTTTAAAAGTGGGGCGAGTTGGTGAAAAAGGGGGGCGATTTGCCAGTGGGGCGATTTGTCCTGCTTCCCCTGAAGTTATATTTTACCTGTAAATCAATTAGCATGCATAATTATATGGCTTCACTTGTCAGCTTGGGTTTGACGTCAAACATACTGGTAATCAACGATTATTACCTCAGGCTAACTGCTGTTGTGTAATAAAAACTTTGTGTATTTAAGAATGAATTTTGGGTTACTTCCCTTGATTTATCCTGTTTTAAGTTACTTTTCTTTAAATAATGTAAATTTTTAAAAGAATATAAATAAAATATAAATTGAACAAATAATCATAAAAGGATGGTAATTAAATGATTTTAAATGTCTTAGAACAAATAAAAAAAATAATAATTTGAAAATAATTTGAGGGTTCTATACTTCCTTTTAAGGCTTGAATTGAAATTTCTATAACAACTATGACCTTTGATTCTAATTTTACCGACCGTGCAAGGGCTGTATAGCCAGTCAAGGTCGTTAAAAACTTCCATTTGTTGTTCTAATTTGACAGTGTTTCTTAACATTCAAAAAAGATCTCTTTGCAGATAGATTAACAAATGAGCTGATAGCAGTGATTATTCTAAAGAATAATGATACAAAAGATAAAAAGTAAAGAACATACTAAAAAAAAAGAGTGTTAGATTGAACATGTTGAATAAAGCTAGAGAAAATTTATAAGTATAGTTAGGGTACTATAAACAACATAAAAAGACAATTTCTACAGCACATGGTTACATTTACGACAAAATTTATGTAGATTAAAAACCTCCTGATCTGAGTCCTAATCTCCTGACCAAAATTTCCCAATCTCCTGATCTGAGTTTCACAGTCCATCACATGTATGAATATGAGATGACAAAGAAACAAGATTATTCAGTCTAATGCCTTTCTAACCTTAAATCCTAGCTAAAACTCTGGTATACAAATCTTTCTAGCCAAAAAATGGACAACTTGATCATGTTAATAGATTAAACAAACTAATTATTTGAATATTTGTAGTATTTTGGGGTTGTAAAAAGTTGAAAATTTTCAAGTACTCAGTCAAAATTAAATTTTTTTTATGCATAGGACAGCACTTTGAGGATACAGGGGGAGCTTCACTGTTTATTTTTGGCTAACTAGTGTTGTTGCAATCCCTACAGTTTTATTATTTCCTTAAAAATAGTTCTAGTGGGAATAAGTTTTAAAGCATAATTAATAATAAAACAGCCTTTAAGTTTTTATTGGTATCATAAGTTGGAGATATATCATGTAGAGATATAAGTAAACAAGTAAATATAGCAGTCCGTTAATGTTGAATACTACTAGAAGGCATTCTTGTTTTGGACCCAACTATAAGTTGGTATGAGTTTGCAGTAATGAGTATGGAATGTTTACGAAGGTATAAAAAATGTATAAGTTTTCAAAGATAAAATTAAACTTTCTATGGTAAGAGTTGACAATTCACAATGATACAAGTTTATAATTCATTTATATTACCCTTAAGGCCAGTTATTTCATTCATCGGCTAAGTTCATTCATTTCATTAATTAAGCTTAAGATGAAAGGAAATACAGGATAAAAATTAACATTCAGTGTAGTAATTATACAGCTGTCAATTATTTGAGCTACTGGTACAAGTGTACAATGTGTATGGCTTATGATATCCTCGGTAGCGGGGAGACGTACTATGAGTTACATTGTATTGAGTGGATGAAAAAGCTCACTTTTTCAATCTTCGTAATATAATAAGGATGTGAAATTAAGATGCAAGGTTGCTGATTAAATCTTTAGTATCTTAAAATAATGAGATGTCGTAAATGCATTATGAATTTGTCAAACCTATTTATCTCTTTGAAATTACATAATCATGATAGATGCAGATAAATTGTTTGTCGAAAACTATATGATATAGTATGTGTTTTTGATATTCAACTTGTTAAAAATGTATGAAAATGGTGATGTACCGAATGTCTTCTCTGCCCCTACTTAGATATGAAGGATTTATAAAGCAAGATAAGATGGGAGTAATTAATTTACCTTAAACAAT